CCAGGTGGGGACACCACACTGGGCACTCTCAGTGCTGCCAGATATCCGCGCTGCCCACGTCTGGAGGCCGGTGAACCAAGCTCAGCTCGGCCCAGCATCTGAGTCTGGTGACAACACCCCAAGAGAAGTGGAGTCTTGCCCGTGCTCTGCTCATGTGGGCACAGCTGCTGGGAGCTCAGCCCGTGCGTGCCCAGTGACTGAACATTCTCCGACGTGACTAAAGGCACGTCCCATCTGCATTCTCCAACAGCACCGCGTCTCCAACGCCGTGGCATTGGGTGGGGGCCGTCGGAGTCTCCCAGGGCCGCCATAACAAAGCACCACAAAAACCCAAGACACCAGAAGGGAGACCAGCCCACAGTGCAGGGGGCTGGCTCATGGTTTCCTGTCCCCACGGGGAGCTCAGCACCTGGGACAGCCCCCAGCACGCAGGAAACACGAGACCTGACCGTGAGAGAAGACGCGGGGACCCAGAAGGAGCACTCATGAGCCTGAGTCCCCGCTGCTCTTCGCCGGCTGCCTTCTGACCCCTGAGGAAGCCCCACCTCAACTGAGCCCAAAGGACCCCCGTGCTCAGTGCCGGGAGCCCCCAAGTATGGGGTCCGGCGCTGGGTGCAAGATCAACAGCATTGTTCACAATCGCCAAAAAGCAGAAACAACCCTAGTGTCCATGCACGGAGGGATGGATAAACCATATGGGGCCCTTCCTCACGGGGGAATAAGACTCAGCCATAAAAGGGACCAAAGGTCTAACACCCGCTGCCCAGTGGATGGACCTTGAAGGCACGAGGCTCTAGCAGACGCCCCAGGCCACAGAGTGTGTGATCCCGTGTCCGTGAAATGTTCGGAACAGGCTCGTCCGCAGAGACGGGAAGTCGATGCATGGCCACCTGGGGTCTGGGGTCCGGGAGGAATGGGGCTGGGGCCCAGAGGGGAATGGGGGTGCCGGCGCTCCAGTGTGCAGGATTTCCTTTAGGGCGGCTCACAACGTTCTGGGACGGCATTATGCCGATGTCTGCACATCTGCGAACATATTCAAAACCGCAGAATTGTCCACTTTAAACGGCTGAACTTGACAATATGTAAATGAGGTCTCAATAAAGGTGTGAAGAGCCAAAAAAACGAGGCGCATACAGCCGTCCCAGACAGGAGGGCATTCGCCCACCGCCGTGCGCTCAGACCAGCATGCATTTCCTGTGAGGCAGAGGGTGACAGGCGGTCCCAGCCGCGTCCCTCTGCAAGAGCCCCCTCCGCTCGCCCGTTCATACACTTCCCCACCCCACCACTCGCCGCCTCAGAGCTCAGACCAGCATGCCAGAGCTGATTTCTTTATTAATCACCCATGCCGCTCAGTGGGCGGCCATGCCCCGTGGAGGCCCAAACGCCCCGGGCCGCAGCTGGGGCTGGGCTAGTGCAGAGAGGGCTGAGTGCTCTCCAGAGGTGACTCATGGGGACGCAGGGGCCGGCGGGCAGGGGGACTGCTTCACCGAGCCTCTGTTCCTCCCACCACCTGCCACGCACGTCTGCTTTCAAAAGGGCCACACAGCATGCAAATACGTGCGGCTAACAAGCAGCCACCTGCGGGGGGGGGGGGGGGGACAATAGATCCCCACGTCCCTCGCTCCATGAGCAGAAATGGAAACAGTTGCCCCCTCCAGGGCTGCTCTGTGCTGGGAACACCAGGGCAGCGTCCCGCACAGGTCGATCGCTTTCCTGCCGATGCTTGTGGGCTCCAGGACATCCGCTCAGCCCCCTGCAGCGGACACGTCCCCAGAGCAAACAGCAACGTCCCCACTCGCCCTCTCTGCACCCTGCACGATCTTGGCGTCTGCCCCCCACGTGTGTCCCTCCGTGGCACCCCTGGGGACCCCAAAGAGCATGTATCCCTCTGTCCGGCCCCTGACACCCCAGCGTGGACAGAGGCCGCCCCGGGGTAACTGTAGGATGCACACCTGAGCACGCTTTAGTGGAACAGAAAGCATCCCACTCAAACTGAAACTCGGGGCCATTTTTAAACCGGTTTGAGGAACCTCTCTGTTGCCGGCGGACGGTGGCAGGTCCTCGAGGCAGGAAGAAACGCCCGCTCAGGGCGGTGGGTGGAAATCTGCAAGGGCTTTGAAGGCAGTGTGCCAGCCTCTCTGCCATGTGGACCCTGCACGTTGTGCTGGTGGACACGCCGTCCCCTAGGACGAAACGGCCAACGCCCAGGCTAGCTGGCGTCGGGGTGAGGCAGGTCGCCGTGGGGCCTGCCCGGGGAGCCGAGGGCGTCTTTGGGGCTCCCGTCTGCATGGGGGAGTCCTGAGCTACCAAGAGGCCACCCTGAGCCCCACGCGCTGCTCTCAGGAGCCCCACATCTTGCAAGTGGGGAGCCCACAGACTCAGCCCCCTGCAGAACAGCAAGCAGGAATCCACGTCCGCATCTCAAGCCGGCAAAGCTCGGGAGAATGGGCCTTGGCACCTGCCGCCCGAGCCCCAGGCCCTCCTCCCAAGGAATGATATCCAACCCCCCCTCCCAGGAAAAGACCAGCGGCAGGTGCAGATAGCCGGAAGCAATGAGGCTTGCCGAAAGAGGACAGAACCGGCCAGAACCAGAACAGCTTGCTCGGCGTCCCGGCCCGAGGCCATCAGTATAATGGTGCGGAGGCTCATGGTCCACAAGAACACCAAAGCTTGAGGACATGCTGCACGCTCTGGGCCCATCCAAGCCCCGGCTCTATGCTCACCCCTCTTGCAACCTCTGAGCCCCCATCTGTAAGATGTGACCCTGACGCCCGCCTCACCACCTCCGGGCATGGCGGTGGGGACCAGGGAATGGGCGAGGGGCCCTGTGCCGTGCAGTGCCGGCCATACAGAGAAGTTACCATGACCCGAGCAATCACAGGAGCTCCTGTGCAATCACAGTGTGAGCAGGGCCGGGGGCGGCGGCCTGAGGCCGTCAGCACGTCCATCTCCAGGCGTATAAACACGTAGTAGGTTGTGTGTATATCCACATGCATATATATGAGAGAGAATAAATGTGCAATAGGATGTGCGTATATATACATACATATACAACACGTATGCATCTATATGCAGTGACTGCATACACAGTAGGATATTTGTATAAATACACGCAATAGAACATATGTGTGTATGTATATAAACACACACGCACATATAGAAACAGATACAAAAAACCGTACATCAAGGAATTGGGCTCACACCATTGTGGGGCCGGTGAGCCTGAAATCTATGGGGCAGGTGGGCAGGCTGCAGACTCAGGAGAGAGCGGGCCCTGCAGCCTGGGGGCAGAACACCTTCCCTGGGAAGGCTCAGTGTTTGCTTTTCAGGCCTTCCCCTGATTAGACAAGGCCCACCACAGGATTAGAGCGTCGCGTCTTTACTTCAAGGCAGCTGCTGGTGTTCTGGAGCCGCACCTACGAAGCCCCTTCACAGACACGCTCGCATGTGCACCCAATGCAGAGATGGAGGCTGTAGTCAAGCCGCGTGGACACATCGGCCAGCACTCCAGGGGGACTTGACCTCACCCCAGGACACACCCTTCCTTCCCCAGCACAGGCACACTCTCTCTCCTGCGCCCCTGGGCTCCACCAGCATGCACAAGACTGCTTTGCGGCTCTACCCAGTGCACGCGCCACCCCCACCTTTGGCAGGCAGACCTCCACGGGGGTCAGCCCTGCCTGGTCGGCCCCAGCTCACAGAAACGGCACAGGTGGGGCCTGACCGGGGTGCCCTGGCCCAGGACCAAAATAAATAAACCCAATCACTGTTTCCCGAAAACTTGGATAAGCAAAACTCCCAGAGTTTGCCGTGTCCTCCACTCTTGGTATATATTCAGATGATTTCATAACCCCACCCCAAAGAGCCCATAGTCTGTTTGGGGAAAGCCACGGGACCTAAGGCAGGAAATCAAGAGTACGAAACAGAGATAAGACCCAGATGGCAATGTGGAGACCGGTCAGGTACTCCGTCTGCCCCAGCCAGAGAGGGCTGCCTACCTGGGCGTCTGGGTTCCTGTACCTGGGAGGCTGGGAGGGCTATGGGGTTTTCAAACCACACTGGAGACATGTGTGTGTGTGTGGGGGGGGGGTCGTTGGGACAGGTGCATAGGTTTTGTACCTTGAAGCAGGTGCGTGGGGGTTGTTACCTTGAAACAGAGCTGTGAAACAACCATGTGACAAGTGGGTGCACTCTTCCCTGCACCTGTGGTCATGCACTTAAATGCATGGGTAGAGGGGGCTGGGGGGCCATTGGCGACGGAACAGGGGACTTCCTGCGTGGTCTGCGTGGGGCCCTCCCAGATCCCCCATCAGGGCCTCCAAAGTCCCCCCATCGCTAAAGGGTGGCCACCCCCCAGTGGGCACCCCAAGATTGGGGCCTCAGCTGCAGGTGAGCAAGACAGAACCGGGCTGGTTCTGTCCCACCCAAGCTGGGGTGTCCAAGCGCGAGGCAGAAGAAAGCAGGAGGCCAGGCACAGGGTGACAGGGATGGACCTACTGGGACTTCAGCGCTGGCGGCACAGCGCCCCCGTGTGGCCAGGTACAGTAGCCAGTGATAGGATGGGGGCGGGGCGGGGAGGAGGGGGACCCGGGGTGACTCCCTCCACCTTCCAGGGGTCGCGGAGAAACTTCTGCAGCTGGAAACCGGGTTAGCGCCTTGGCAACTCTGTAACCTCGCAACTGTGTTGCACGTCTCCCCTGGCTTCCTCCTGGCCCCAACGATGAAGCCGCTGCACCCTAGCTTGCAGCACGCTCCCTGCGCTTCCAAGGAGCAGGAAGGGCGCGACTGTCCAAGCAAGCGCCCGGTGTCCTGGCGCACGGGAGGCGTCTGGGTGTGACGCAGCTTCGCAGGATTTAGCGCGCCTCCGCTCCGCTCCGTGCCACGGGTGGACCGCGCCAGCTGCGCACAAGTGTGCGGGACAGCGGGGGAGGCGAGCGAGCGAGGCCGGCCGGGAGCCCCGTTGTGCTCCCCTCCTCACCCGGGTGCCCCTTGCCTTCCAGGCCCGCGCGCGCGCGCGCGCAGCAGGTGCAGGAGCAGGATGGATATGAACGTGACGCGTCCTGACAACGCCACCATCCTGATGCTGCGGGACCCGACCATCGCCGTGGTGCTGCCCGTCGTGTACTCGCTGGTGGCGCTGGTCAGCATCCCCGGCAACCTGTTCTCGCTGTGGGTGCTGTGCTGCCACATCGGGCCCAAGTCGCCGTCGGTGATCTTCATGATCAACCTGAGCGTCACGGACCTGATGCTGGCGAGCGTGCTCCCTTTCCAGATCTACTACCACTGCAACGGGAACCACTGGGTGTTCGGGGAGGTGCTCTGCAACGTGGTCACCGTGGCCTTCTACGCCAACATGTACTCGTCCATCCTCACCATGACCTGCATCAGCGTGGAGCGCTTCCTGGGCGTGGTGTACCCGTTGGCCTCCGCGCGCTGGCGCCGGCGACGTTACGCGGTGGCCGCGTGCGCCTGCGTCTGGCTCGTACTCCTGGGCGCGCTGTCCCCGCTGGCGCGCACCGACCTCACCTACACCGTGGAGGCGCTGGGCATCGTCACCTGCTTCGACGTGCTCAAGTCCACCATGCTGCCCAGCGTGGCCATGTGGGCCATGTTCCTCTTCACGCTGTTCATCGTGCTCTTCTTCATCCCGTTCGTGGTCACCGTGGCGTGCTACACGGCCACCATCCTGACCCTGCTGCGCGCGGCCGACGTGCACGGCCGCGGCCAGCGACGCCGCGCCGTCAGCCTGGCCGCCGTGGTTCTGCTGGCCTTCGTCACCTGCTTCGCGCCCAACAACTTCGTCCTGCTGGTGCACGTGGTCAGCCGCCTCTTCCTGGGCGGCAGCTACTACCACGTGTACAAGCTCACGCTGTGCCTCAGCTGCCTCAACAACTGCCTGGACCCCTTCGTGTACTACTTCGCGTCCCGCGAGTTCCAGGCAAGGCTGAGCAGGTACTTGGGCTACGGGCGGCTGCCCGCCGGCGGCCGGGACGCGCACCGGGACGCCCTCTTCTCCACTCGGACGCTGTCGGCGCGCTCCATGTCAAGCGGCCCCGGCGACGGGCTCGACGCGCCCAGCCGGCCCTCGCTCAGGAGGCAGGAGAGCGCGTTCTGAGCCGCGCGCCCCCCGCAGTGCGCGCGGTGGACAGGGGCGGGACGAAGGGGCGGTGCTCTTACCCGCCCGCCTGCCCCTGCAGACGCTGCTACTGCGTCCGTCCGTGCGCATGGACAGGGTCCCCAGGGGGGCCGCTCAAATGCGTCCGTGCGCATGGACAGGGTCCCCAGGGGGGGCCGCTCAAATGCGTCCGTGCGCATGGACAGGGTCCCCAGCGGGGGCCGCTCAAATGCGTCCGTGCGCATGGACAGGGTCCCCAGCGGGGGCCGCTCAAATGCGTCCGTGCGCATGGACAGGGTCCCCAGGGGGGGCCGCTCAAATGCGTCCGTGCGCATGGACAGGGTCCCCAGGGGGGGCTCGAGTCGGGTGTCCCAACACGGCCGCAGGGCGCAGGGACGCACCGACACCGAACAGCCCGCGCTGCAACGGGACAGGACGCAGCGTGCCAGGCGCACTGGCCCTGCTCCCTGAGGATCACCACCCAGCCTGACCAGGCAGAGCGCCCAGCCAGCCCAGCTGAGTCCCCATCGACCCGCAACATCCGCCTGCCCGGTTCTCTGTGCCTCTCGCTCGGGGACGCTGCTAACACCTGATGCTCCCCAGCCTGGCACAGCCTGTACTTGGTGCTCACACTGCCCTCGGTCACTGAGTGCGCTGGGATTCACCCCCGCGAGGCTGCATGGGCCCCTTTGGCCTCTGTGCTGTGGGAGCTCACAGGCTTACCCCACCCCCCAGCCCATGTCACCTGGTCCCCCCAGGAACAAACGTTGCAAGGGCCTCCAAAGGGGTTGGTCACTCGGGTTCCTCGACTCTCACGTTCTACAACATGTCACAATGTCCAGATGGGAACGACATCCGTGCAGGAGAGGAGGGTCGGGCCCCCCACGCGGGAGGAGGGTCTCCAGGCAGATGAGACTCTGCTGAGGCCGAGTTCTGTGAGGGACGATGCTGTCAGCACCTGCAACCGGGCTCTCCCTGACATGATTCGGGGTGCAGCTTGCCCCGAGGTGCCCCCCGGCTGGGTCTCTGCATCCTGCTCCCAGCGGAGAACCCTGAGTCACAGGCAAGGCCTCCCACGGTGTGAGGTTGGCCTCGTGCACCTGGCCTGACCCAGGCACCCAGCAAGACGGCGGACCTCACAAGCCTGTGGGAAGACCAGCGCCCAAGGCCCCTTTGTGCCTACTGGCCGCCTGAGCACACGGGCAGGGGCTTCCTTGTCTCTTCCTGAGCGCAGGACACAGCCGTGCCAGCCCCAATATGCATAGTGCTTCAGGAAGACAAGCAACCGCATCCCCGCGGGGTCCGGGATGCCAAAACAGTGCGTTTCCAGGAGCCTGCGATTTGCCTGAAACAGCAGTTTCTGATGCTTTCTTCATCACAAGGGGATGCACGGCTTCGGGCTCAGGGGCCTTCAGGGGCAACGGCTGCGGGGCAGGCAGCCTCCCCACAGGAGGTCCGAGATACAGATGGAGATTGATAGCTGCCGTCCAGGGGCCCCTGGGGGCATCTGCTCCTGCCATCACTGCTGTGGAAGGAAAACAGACACACCTGTCCTAGAGTGAATAGTGACCCCAAACCCATGTCCACCCAGGACCTTGGGATGTGATCTCCTGGATCGGGGTGGCCCTAAATCCAATGGCAGGTGTGCTTATAAAAGACAGAAGAGGAGACAGAGATACAGAGGAGAAGCCACGTGAAGAGATGGGGGGGAACGCGGCCACCAGCCCAGGGACACCTGGAGCCCCAGAAGCTGGGAGGCAGGAAGGACCCTCCCCTGGAGCCTCCTCTGGAGGGAGCTTGGCCCTGCCCCGCCTGGATCTCAGCATCCCCTCCGACTCTGGGATGAATCCCCTGTGGATTTAAGTCTCCAGCTTGCACAGAGAAGGCCGGAGTCCCAGCTGGAACTCTCACCCACGGGCTCCTCAGTCCTCAACACCACGTGGCCGAGAGGTGACCTCTCCCCTTGTCGATGCACACAGTGACGTGCACGCGTGGAATCTGAAAATGATGCAGGTGGCCACCCTTCACAGAGGCGCCCGCTGCGCACAGTAACTGGAGAGGCACGCACGGTTCCGGCTTCCTGTTACGTGCTGTGGACCCCAGAGGTCAGTGTATAAACTGTGGACCCTGATACCAGCCTGGGGGGCTCCAGGCCCCCTTCCCTGTGCATGGTCCTAGAATCAAACTCGGGTTCCTAGCTTTGCCCGGTGCCCATGCATGTCTGGTGAGGGCAGAGGCACGTGCAGGTGGAAAGTAGGTGAGTGCATGCTACGCTTGCCCTTGGGAACTGTGAGAGTCAGCCTTGGGGGTCCCCCTCGACACCCCCCACGCCACGCCGGGGTCGCATATCATCATTGCCCTCCGCCTTGCAGCTAGAATGTCCCCACAGGGGACAGTGTCCAAGCATACTGGTCCCGAATGCCCAGCTGTGTGCACCGAGTTCAGAGCCACCATAGGGACCCTTCAGAGAGACCCCTTGAGACTTACCTGGCGAAGGATTTACCTGGGGGAGGCACAGGTGACTCCAAGAAGGCTGGCATCAAGGACCCGAATTCTGCAGGGAAGGAGCCACATCCCCCTATCTCTTCCTGACTCTCCCAAACCCAAACCCTAGAAAGCAATGTCGAGGCAGTAGGATCCAGACTCGGAAATCCTGAGCCAGCAAGACACCCCCACCCACACTCTGGGCGTGGGCCTCGGTGCGTCTGATGCACAAAAGCTGTGAAAACCTCAAACCAGCCGCACAGAACACCTCGGCGGCCCGTGAGGAGCCTCACACCTTGATTCTGGAGGAAGCCTGTCTACATAATATCCTCCTCCACAAGATGTCAGGCCCCTGGAGCCCTCGGGTGACAGAGGGGACTGTCTCCGGTGTCACTGTCCAGTAAACGGGCAGCGCCTCAGCATGGGACGTTAGCGGAGCGGGGGTGGGGGGGGAAGGGAAGCAGTCCCACGGGGTCTTTCCCGTTGCTGGGGATCCCAACGCACAGGTCCCAGCTTCATGCCACGGTGTCTGTCCTAGGGCCTGAAATGCCAGGACTGGTCTTGCTTCCAGTTCAACACGCGAATAGTGTAGTGTGCTGTGTCTGTCTCTGTGTGTGCGTTCCCCAGAAACTCAAGCTGTTCACCTGCTAAGTAGCAAATAAAAGTATACACGTGTGTGGGTACGTACGGATGTGAACTTCTTCAAAAGATGTGATACTGGGATTCAGCTCCTGGCTGCACGTGGAGAGGCAGGGGCACCCCGAGACTTATGATCCTTGATGCCAACCCTGATTTTTCCCCGTGCAGAAGGTGAACGCATTGCTCATTCTGACCTCTGAGCCCCCTGCTTTCCAAAGACATGTCCCATCTTGCTTTGAATCGCACATGCCCTCCAGCCAGCCCCCGGGATCTTCAATGCCAACACTCTCCACAGAGGGTGGAATCAGGTTACTTGGAAGCACACGGCATGAATCAGGGCAGCACAACACGGATGGGGCTTGGGGAGTAATCACGGATTTGTTGCCCCGGATGATGGGGCTTTAAAAAGACATCCTTTTTTTGTAAGAGATACATGTGTAAATATTCATGTGTCTAATGATATGATGATTGATGCTTGGATTAAAATACCACAGCAAACACATGCATACTCACACATACATGCATGCATGCACACACATGTACCCATATTCACGCAGGTATGCGGGCATCCATCACGCACAAATGCACACAATGTACCCATGTGCATGCATGCCGGCATCCATCCGTGCATGCACACACATGCACACACACGTGCACATCATGTAACCATATACACGCATGCACACATGCAGGCATCCATTCATGCACACACATGTGCACACACATACGTGTACACAATGTATCTATATGCACACGTGTGGGCATCCATTCATGCATGCACACACACATACACACACGTGCACACAACGTATCCATATGCACACATGCACACATGTGGCCATCCATCCATGCATGCACACACACACATACACACACATACGTGCACACAACATATCCATATGCACGCCTGCACACATGTGGCCATCCATCCATGCATGCACACACACACATACACACACACGTGCACACAACATATCCATATGCACACATGCACACATGTGGGCATCCATCCATGCATGCACACACACATGCACACACATACGTGCACACAACATATCCATATGCACGCCTGCACACATGTGGGCATCCATCCATGCATGCACACACATGCATGCACACACATGCATGCACACAATGTATCCATATGCACACATGCACACACGTGGGCATCCATCCATGCATGCACACACACACACATACATACATATGCATGTACATGGGCATGCATGCAAATTTGGGGGGCTGGAAGAAAAATGGCAGAATGCTGATCACTGGTAATGCTTGAAGCTGGGTGAAAGGAATGTGGGGTTCCATTCTATAATTCTCTTTCCTTTGAGCATATTTGAAAATATCTATACTTAAAATGAGGTATATTGGGAAATGTCACACAAAGACATCGATTTCTGCCCAGTGTCGCCTCTCCGAATTGCTGAATGTGGAAGAAGTAAACTTTCCCAACCCAGCTATTCTTTTTTTTTTTCTTTTCCTTCCGATTTTTTTGTATTGTGGTAAAATACATACACACAAAATTTACCATTTTAACCACGTTTGAGTGTGCGGGTCAGTGGTATGAAACACATTCATGGTGCTGTGCCACCGTCCCCAACATCCGTGTCCTGAATCCTTCGTCATGTCGAACGGAAGCTCTGACCCCAGGAAACAAGGAACCATCCCATCCCCCACCATCTGCTCTCTGTCCCTATCAAAGTAACGCCTCCAGGGGCCCCATATATACATGGAATCACGCAGCATTTGTCCGTTTGTGTGTGGCTTGTGTGACTGACCATCACGTCCCTCCAGCTTCGCCCCTGTCACCGTTGAATCAAGGTACCATTTACCCACCACACAGCTCACCAGGTATTTAATACGTTTGTAGAGGTGTCCCAGAAACACCACAATGCAGCTATGGGACATTTCCATCACCCCAAAAAGATGTCCGATGCCCGTTTGCTTTCCATCCCTACAGCCAGCCCGAGCAAGCGCACAATACACTTTCTGCTCCTGTAGATGTGTCCTTTCTGTCCCTGTGGCATCAGTGGGATCATACAGCACATGGGGTGCTTTTTCTCAATACGGCAATTCGGGGTTCATCCACGTGGTAACATTTATCACTATTCTTCCCTCTTTGCTCCATGGGTTGGGTGAGCACCGCCTGTCTCTCATGCGAGAGACAAAATCCAAATAGCCCTAGTTAGGCACATTTTGACCTCAATCTCCAACAAAGGGTCCAATCCAAATACCCAAAACAATGGGGCTGAAGTAGCCGGGACATCGAGAACTCTGCCTCTTTCACGAGGTGCCGGGAACCTATTTCTACCCTGCACTTTTCACTCTTTCTGGAATAGACAGCCAAGAAAACGCATCCCCCACTTACCAAGACTTGAGAACGTCATAGTTATTCAGTCAATGAAGAAATAATTTGGGTTCAGAATGACTTAGTTAAAAAGCTTCAATGTTTAACCTTCGCTTTTTTTTTTTTTTTTCGAAGTCTGATCTCTTTGGAAATCTGTGCGATTCTGCAAATGTCCATGAAGGGTTTTTTTGTTTTGTTTTTTTTTGTGTGTGTCATGAAAGTACTTCTAGGGTAGGAATAAATCCAAGTGAAGGCACAGGGAGAGGGTCTCCGGACGAGGATAAGCCATGTAATGGGTACGCTAGTTTCTGGGATTCACGGATAAACCCCACACAACGGGCAGCCTTCATAGGGTAAACCCCACACCAGGGCATCCCGCTGTCTATCACGTGGATGAGCTCCTCCGTCTCGCTACAGTGGGGTTAAGTGTTGGGTCCATTTTGCAGAGGAGCAAACTGAGGCACGGAGAGGTGGAAGGACTTGTCCGGGGTCCCAGAGCCGGCGAGTGGGACACCCTGGGTTTGAACCTAGCACCTGTCCCCAGAGCTCCAGCCCACGTCCGCCGGAGCCCAGGCAAACCATCAAAACACCAGCCAGCCTGTTGGCAGTCCCAACAAAGAAGCGGCGGGGGGTGGGGGGCCTCTCGGGAAAACGACATTCCTTTAACCGGATCGTGGAAGGGTGCTGGGCAAACGGGCTGCCTTCGATCGTGGTCTGGGGATGCGCCCGAGCCGGCTCGCACTTGCGACCAACGCACCACGTGATGGGAGGGTGTTGTCAACCAGACAGGGAAGGACGTGACAGGTGTGCGGGGACCCTCTGTGCTATTTGGGCAACCTCCCCGAGAGCCTAAAAGGATCGCAGAATAAACCGGCTCTTCTTTTTTTTTTTTTTTTTTAAAGATTTTATTTATTTATTTGACAGAGAGACACACAGCGAGAGAGGGAACACAAGCAGGGGGAGTGGGAGAGGGAGAAGCAGGCTCCCCGCTGAGCAGAGAGCCCGATGTGGGACTCCATCCCAGGACCCTGGGATCATGACCTGAGCCGAAGGCAGACGCTTAACGACTGAGCCACCCAGGCGCCCCAACCGGCTCTTCTTTAAAGAAGGAGATGAGTGGCTTGTGCGCAGACGTGACGGGGATCTTGAGGGAAATGTCAAGCTCAACCTACCAAGGACTGACTTCCAAAATACGCGGGATGCTTGGGGCAGGCTGCCCTGGGTGAGGCCAGCCCGCGATCAGAACCGCTATCAAGGGGCTGGCTGGTGGGCGGCCCTAACCAAGAGAGGCTCCCTGCAGGGGCCTGGGGGGCTGGGATGGACAGGCATAGGGATGGGGGGAGGAAGGGGTGGGATTACCTGCATCCTGCCCTCCTGGTTCTCGGGCTCTCTGTGGGGAGAGTGCCAGGGACAAGCAGAAGGCGCCACTGTGGTCTGTATGGAAGGTCCCCAGGCTCTGCCCACCACCCCAGCCCCCTCCATGTTTATCACGACAGGGGCTATGGGTATCTGAACCTGCTTTGACCCCTATCCCGTGCCTCACGGGGGATCAGCCAGCGCAGAACATTAAGGGGGAAAAATGAGAAGTAACAATGCCATCAAAATATATCGTAGGCTGCCACGTAGAAATACATCTGTGCCATATATATACATAGACCTACTTATGTGCAATATGGGTTTGTATGCATATGTGCATATTCGTCTGGGGACATTTCTGGTGGTCTCAACACTGGGGGTCGCTACTGGCATGTGGGAGATAGAGACAGGGACACTGCATAGCACCCTCCGGTGCCCAGGACGCCCCACATCAGAGAGTCAGTCAGCCCCAGACGTCAACAGTTCCCAGGCTGAGAAGGTCGGACCTGCATGAGAGGCTCTCTCTCTCTATCCATCCATCTATCTACCCATCCATCCACCATCCAGCCAGCCATCTATCATCTATCTGTCCATCCATCCATCCATCCATCCATCATCTCTATCCATGCATCCATCCAAAATATCTATTATCTATCCATCCATCCATCCATCTCTATCCCTATATCTATCATTTATCAATCTATCATCTATCTATCTATCTATCTATCTATCTATCTATCTATCTATCTATCTATCTATCTATCTATCTATCTATCTATCTATCTATCTATCAAGCATGTTTATGGTCAGGGTTCTCAATCAACCGCTATTCTTTCCCCGGGGACCCCGGGGCAATGTCTGGAGAGAATTGGGGTTGTCACAACTTGAAGGGAAGGCACTGCCATCTAGTGGCAGAAACTGGGCATGCTGCTAAATATCGTGGCGTGCGCAGGTCGCCCCCACAAAAATCAATCATCCGACCCCCCAAACGTCAGTAGTGCTGAGGCCGAGGAGGCGCCCTAAAAACGTTAGCAGGAGAGACTCTCCCTCTCTCTCCCTATCTACCTGTTTACCTATGTATCTGTCCATATGTGGCAGGGTTCTCAACCAGGCCCCCAGGGAACCCCCATCTCTGCCCCTCCGCCGCCTCCCGGGGACACCCCCATCTCCACACCCTCCGCGGTGCCCCGGGGACCCCATCTCCGCACCCCCATAACCGCGCCCCTCCACCGCCTCCCGGGGACACCCCCATCTCCGCACCCTCCGCGGTGCCCCGGGGACCCCCACCTCCGCACCCCCATGCCCGCGTCCCTCCACCGCCTCCCGGGGACACCCCCATCTCCGCACCCTCCGCGGTGCCCCGGGGACCCCCACCTCCGCACCCCCATGCCCGCGTCCCTCCACCGCCTCCCGGGGACACCCCCATCTCCGCACCCTCCGCGGTGCCCCGGGGACCCCCACCTCCGCACCCCCATGCCCGCGTCCCTCCACCGCCTCCCGGGGACACCCCCATCTCCGCACCCTCCGCGGTGCCCCGGGGACCCCCACCTCCGCACCCCCATGCCCGCGTCCCTCCACTGCCTCCCGGGGACACCCCCATCTCTGCGTCCGCCCCCCCACGGCTCCCAAGGGGTCCCGCGACGTCGGGTTCCCGGAGGCCGTCCGCAACGACCTCCGCCCCCAGCCCCTCGGCGGGCGCAGCTGGTTTTGGGGCGCAGGGCGGAGGGGACGCGCAGCCTAGAGTCCGGACTAGGAATGCAGGGGCGGGGCTCCGGCGGGCGGGGCGGGGCCTGGGCGGGGCGCAGCGCGGGGCGGGGCCTCGTTAGGGGCAGGGCCTCACTCGGCTCGGAGCGTGGGGCGCGGGGCGGGGCCTCGTTAGGGGCAGGGCCTGACTCGGCTCGGAACGTGGGGCGCGGGGCGGGGCTCCGGCGGGCGGGGCGGGGCCTCGTTAGGGGCAGGGCCTGACTCGGCTCGGAACGCGGGGCGCGGGGCGGGGCCTCGTTAGGGGCAGGGCCTCACTCGGCGCGGGGCTGGGCTCCGGCGGGAGAGGCGGGGCCTGGGCGGGGCGTCACGCGGCCCGGGCCTCGTTGGGGGCGGGGCTTAAATAGATCTAAAGCGCGCGGCGCGGGGCGGGGCCGGCCTGGGCGGGACCGCACGCACGGCGCGGGGCGGGGCTCCGGTGGGCGGGGCGGGGCCGGGGCGGGGCGTCGCACCGCCCAGGGCCTCGTTGGGGGCGGGGCCTCACTAGGCCGGAAGCGCGCGGCGTGCGGCGGGGGATCGGGCTCCGGGTCTGGCTGCAGGCCCCGTGCGCGGCGCGGGGGTCGGGCCGCCATGGTGCTGAGCCCGGTGATCGGGAAGCTGCTGCACAAGCGCGTGGTGCTGGCCAGCGCCTCCCCGCGCCGCCGGGAGATCCTCAGCCACGCGGTGAGCCAGCGGCCTGCGCCGGGCCGGGGCCGGGGTCTGCGGCGGGGCTGGGGGCCGGGGGTCTGGTGGCCCGGGGGCCTGGTGACTGTGGGCCTGGGGCCGGGGACTGCGGCGGGGCTGGGGGCCGGGGGTTGGTGGTCTGAGGTTCTGGTGACTGTGGGCCTGGGGCCGGGGGCCTGGGGCCTGGGGTCTGGTGACTGCGGGTCTGGGGCCGGGGTCTGCGGTGGGGCTGGGGGCCGGGGGCCTGGGGCCAGGCGCCTACTGGTCTGGGCACCTGGGGGGGCCTGGAACCTGGGGGCCTGCTGCGGGGGGGCCTACTGATCTGGGGCACCTGGGGCCAGAGGGTCTGGTGACCTGGGGCTCTGGTGACTGGGGGACTGGGGCCGGGGACGGGAGAGCCTGGTGACTGGGGACCTAGTGATCTGGGGGCCTGGGGCCAGAGGGTCTGGTGACCTGGGCTCGGGGGACTGGGGCTCCAGGTGATTGGAGGTCTGGTGACTGGGGCTTCTGGTTCTGGTGTGGGGGCGGGGGGGTCTGGTGAGCCAGGGACCTATTGATTTGGGGGCCGGTGGGCCTGGGGGGGAGGGGTCTGGAGACCTGGGAGGTGGGGGGTGGTGGGGGGAGGTGTGGAAGGGGGAGGTCTTGGTGACTGGGGGATCTAGTGATTGGGAGCCTCCTGCCTGTCGGCCTGTTTCCAGGGGCCTGGTAACCAAGAGCTTGGGGACCAGGAGCCTGGCGACCAAGGAATGGCCTGGTGCCAGGTGGCCGGGGGGGTGGTCTGGTGACTGGTCCCTGGGGCCAAGGGCCCTGGTGATCCAGGATGGCCTGGTGCTGGGGGACCTGGTAACCAAGGGCTTACTGACCAGACCAGTGGGGCTAGTGCCAGGGGTCCTAGTGACCCTGCAGGGCCCTGTGACTGGGGTCTAGTGACCAGTGGCTCCAGGCCAGGAGCTGGGGGCTGCAGGCTGTAGGACTCTGTGTGATCTGGTAGCAGGGGTCTGCAGACTGGGGTCTTCGTTGGAGCCATGGCATAGTGACTCAGGGTCCCAGTGACTGAGTAATTGCAGTCTGTATGGTCTGGAACCAGAGTCTTCAGGCCAGGCCAAGTAGCCTAGGACCTGCCGGCCAGAGGGCTGGGGGCCGGGGTGGGGGGCGCTGCCAGGCCAAGGCCATGTCTGTGCCTGAGCTGGGTCCATCCTGGAGCTGGTAATGGGGGAGAGACGGAGCCAGAGTGGAGGGGACGTGGTCACCGTGGGGAGGCCCTGTCTGGGGGGCAGGGGGTACTGGAGATAGGAGGAGGGGTTGGGGGGTGGTACAGAGCAGAAGATGGGGTGTAGGAGGTCAAGGACCAAGGAGGGGGCCCCTCAGAGAGGTGGGGGCAGGGATGGTCAGAGCCTCATGGGAGCTCTGTCCGGGGGCTGCCAGTGGGGTCGGGAAGTTTGACTCTCTGTGTTCAAGGCCCACAGTCCTGTCCGCACCCACTCTGGGGTGTCAGTTTCTGCATGACCAGCCCCCCACGGGGGACTGCCTTGCCTGTCCACACGTGTTTGGGGACCACGGTCAGTCCTCTGTGGCATTTTGTGCTGGCGGGATGTTTTCAGCTGTTTGTCCACTGTGGGGGGTGAAATGCTGGCCTCAGGGACACTCTGGGAGCCCTTTGACACCCTGCAAAGCCTCAGACCCCCGCGCCCCAACCAAACTGTCCTGCTGGCCTCTGCATGGCTGCCCCATGTACCGATGTCTTCCCACCAGGTCTACTGGTCCCCGGCCACGCGTGGGCCAGCACTGGTCAGTGTTTGGTGATCACTGGTCAGTGTTTGGCTTCTTCCTGGCATGTGGGAAAGGCCACATTTACTATAAACCTGGCACATGCTGCTCAAGGTCCTTGGGTTCTTCCTGTCATCCCGCAAGACCCTGTTCTCCCCTCTTTCAGGGTCTCAGGTTCGAGGTGGTTCCTTCCAGGTTCAAAGAGAAGCTTGATAAAGCATCCTTCCCCACGCCTTATGCCTACGCCATCGAAACAGCCAAGCAGAAGGCCCTGGAGGTGGCCAGCAGGATGCACCAGGCAAGGGGGCTCTGCTTCTGTGTCTTTAGAGAGTTCTCTTGCTGGGTTTTCAATGGACATGTCATAAATAAATGCCATTTACCGTATCCTACGCAATTACTGTAGCTGATCTATGAATGAGTGTTGCCGTGTAGCATACTATTATAATTAATGTAATAGTACCTTTGATGTAACATAGTTTATCCATCTGTTACTCTGTAGCATGCTATTGGGATTAACAGAATGGTATCATTTATCATAAAGAATTAATGTAGCTTATTTATTACTATGTGTTACTATGTAACATACTATTACAATTAATATTACAGTATCACTTACAGTAAAGAATGAATATAGCATATCTGTTTCTGTATATTACTACGTAAGTAATACTGTAAGTAATATAATAGCATCACTCATGATAGAGAATTAACGCCCAGGGTCCTGGGATTGAGCCCTACGTTGGGCTCCTTGCTCAAGGGGAACTTGCTTCTCCCTCTCCTCCAGCTCATGCACACGCTGTGTCTCCCTCTCTCAATAAATGAAATCTTTAAAAAAAAAAAAAAAGAAAAAAATGATATAGAATTACCGGACCTAAATTATTATTATGTGTTACTATATAATATACTGTTACAGTGAGTATAACATTGTCATTTATGATACAGGATTAATGGACCTAAACTATTACTATATGTTACTATATAATACACTATTGCAGTGAGTATAACAGCATCGTTTATGATACATAATTAAGGTAGATTATTATTGCTAAGTGTTATAATAATATCCTATTGCAACTAACGTAATATGACAAAAGCATTGTACCTAATGCTATAATGAGTATTGGTATAAATAAACAAGTATCAATCCATTGATTTTCGACAGTGGAAAGGTTAATTTTTAAGTACAACCTAATTTCAAGGTTCTGTATAGATCCCGGATGAGAGTGTTCAGCCCCAAGCCTGAATTTTCCACTTGGATTTATTTTATTGTCTGGAGTACCTTTTCTTCAGCTTACATCGAGCAGGTCAAAAAACCGGCTTTGTCCTTAATTCAGGATAGCTTGGGGAGGATTTGGGGTCACACTCGTGTTCTCACTGGGGACATTGAGGACACCTGCATCTTAATTTCCGAAGTGAGACAGGCCTCTTATCCACTCGTCACGCCACCAGGGTATTTGTGCAAGACCACAGGATCATCGTTTCTAAAGCTGGGTTCGGATTTCTTGCAGAAGGACCTCCGGGCCCCCGATGTTGTCATCGGAGCGGACACCATTGTGGTGAGTCCCCCCTCGGGGCCCTTGTCTGGCCTCCACTTTGGTTTGTGTGTCCTTGGTGACTGAAATCAAGGTGTGGACAGTGAGATCTGGCTTAGTGAGAGTGGACCCCTCCCTGGTTCTCTGGCAGACGGTCGGGGGGCTGATTCTAGAGAAGCCGGTGGACAAGCAAGACGCGTACAGGATGCTCTCCAGGTGGGTGCAGACTGCGGTCCCCCTGGGAACAGCACTGGGGCAGGGTCCATGCGCGGGGTAGGGTCAGGGCCCAGGATGGGGTCCACACCTGGAGCGGGGGCAGGGCTTAGGGTGGAGTGAGCACCTGGGTCTGGGTTAACGTCCCAGGCAGGGTCAGCACCTGGGGTGGGGTTAATGTCCAGGATGGGGTCTGGTTCCCAGATTAGGGTCCCAGGCAGGGTCAGCACCTGGGGTGGGGTTAATGTCCCGGGTGGGGTCAGGTCCACAGGTTAGGGTCCCAGGCAGGGTCAGCACCTAGGGTGGGGTTAATGTCTGGGGTGGGGTCAGGTTCTCAGGTTAGGGTCCCAGGCAGGGTCAGCACCTGGGGTGGGATTAATGTCTGGGGTGGGGTCTGGTTCCCAGGTTAGGGTCCCAGGCAGGGTCAGCACCTGGGGTGGGGTTAACGTCTGGGGTGGGGTCAGGTCCTCAGGTTAGGGTCCCGGGCAGGGTCAGCACCTGGGGTGGGGTTAATGTCCAGGGTGGGGTCAGGTCCTCAGGATAGGGTCTGCACCTGGGACAGCGTTCAGGTCCAAGGCGGTCCATGTCTGGGTCACACCTGGAACGGGGTCCGAGCCTGGGGAGGGGTCTGCACTCAGCCTCCGTGGCCACCGTCCCGGTTGTTCGTGTGTCCATGAGCTTTTAGTCCTGGTCTTGTCCTCCTGAGTGATGGCCTCCCCGTGCCCACCTCCATGTGACCAGCTTTCCCCATGAGCTTCTGCTCAGGCAGAGGGCAGACGGGCGGTCTCCTTCCAGGCGGGGCATGTCCACGCACCCATCTCAGGGCATCTCATCCCCCAGGCCCTGCTGTGTCCCGTGCACTGGTGTCTCACTCCACTGCAGGACAGTAGGCAGACGCAGGCTGAGAGCTGGGTGGCGGGAACGTGCTGCGCCCGCGAGGCGGGGGGGACATGTCATACTGATTGCATCTTATAGGTTGAACGGGAAAGAGCACAGCGTGTTCACGGGCGTTGCCATTGTCCACTGTTGCACCAGAGGTACAGTGCCAGCAGCATCCTCCCCAGGCCCGGGGTCACCGCGGGAGGAGCACGCTCCTCCGTCCCCGCAGACCTGCACCCTCACTTCTGCCTCCGGAAGTTGGGGCTGCATGGAGGCCTCGAAGCACCTGACAGAGATGGGCTCGCCCGCCCAGCGTGACCCACACAGGTGCTTCCCTCCAGATCTTCTGCGGTCCGGAAGGCAGAGGGGATTGGCTCATGCTGGCCATCCTGAAATCACAGTAGGACAAAGAAGGTTTTTTTTTTAAAAAGAACCCAAACCCCGAGGACTTGCTGTAAATGCTGCTTTGTGTAATGTGCCCCGCAGGCTGTGCTCGGGGCTTTCCAACCCCACAGCGAAGGCCTCTGTTCCTGCAGGAAACCCCAGACACCGCCCCCGCTCCCCACTAGTCTGGGTCTGTAAGTTGCAACTTTTTTATCTCTCGAATCCCAGGCCCCCTGCTGGTCTGGGTCTGCAGGTTGCAACTTTCTTATCCCCCAAACCCCAAGCCCCACACTGGTCTGGTTCTGAGGGTTGCAACTTTTTATCCCGCAAATCCCAGGTCCCCCCTGGTCTGGGTCTGCAGGTTGCAACTTTCTTATCCCCCAAACCCTAGGCCCCTGCTGGTCTGGGTCTGTAAGTTGCAGCTTTTTTATCTCCTAAATCCCAGGCCCCCTGCTGGTCTGGGTCTGCAGGTTGCAACTTTCTTATTCCCCAAACCCTAGGACCCCCTGGTCTGGGTCTGAGGGTTGCAACTTTCTATGCCCCAAACCCCAGGCCCCTGCTGGTCTGGGTCTGTAAGTTGCAGCTTTTTTATCTCCTAAATCCCAGGCCCCCTGCTGGTCTGGATCTGCAGGTTGCAACTTTTTATCCCCCAAACCCCAGGCCCCCCCACTGGTCTAGGTCTTCAGGTTGCAACTTTCTTATCCCCCAAACCCCAGGCTCCTGCTGATCTGGGTCTGTAAGTTGCAACTTTTTTATCTCCTAAATCCCAGGCCCCCCGCTGGTCTGGGTCTTCAGGTTGCAACTTTTTATCCCCCAAACCCCAGGCCCCTGCTGGTCTGGGTCTATAAGTTGTAACTTTTTTATCTACTAAATCCCAGGCTCGCTGCTGCTCTAGGTCTGCAGGTTGCAACTTTCTTATTCCCCAAACCCCAGGACGCCCTGGTCTGGGTTGGAGGGTTGCAACTTTTTATGCCCCAAACCCCAGGCCCCTGCTGGTCTGGGTCTGGAAGTTGCAACTTTTTTTTATCTCTTAAATGCCAGGCCCCCCGCTGGTCTGGGTCTGCAGGTTGCAACTTTTTATCCCCCAAACCCCAGGCACCCCCCCGCCCGCTGGTCTGGGTCTGAGGGTTGCAACTTTTCATTCCTCTCACCGGTTTTGCTTGCTCGAGTTTGTAACTCTTATTTTTCCTGCTTGTGGCCTCCTCCTGCCCCCGATTAACAGTTCCTAGCTGACTTACACTCAGAGCCAGGGCAGATGTCCCCCAGATGCGCAGAGCACAGCTGTGGGGCCCTGAGGCCGTGCACCCTGACCGGCAGCCCTGTGTTGCAGACAGCCAGCTGGACACGGAGGTGTCCGAGTTCCACGAGGAGACCACGGTGAAGTTCTCCGAGCTGTCCGAGGAGCTCCTGTGGGAATACATCGACAGCGGGGAGCCCATGTGAGTCCCTCGTACGAGGACACTAATCACGTGTGTGGGCGTGCCACCCTCATGATCTGATCCCCTCCCAAAGGCCCCACCTCCTAACGCCGTCGCCTTGCAGGTTAGATCTCAATATATGAATTGGGGGGGTGGGGACACAGACATCTAGTGCATAGTCATCGTGTTAGTTAGTGTCCCGATTACAACCGGGGCCAGGCTCGGGCGGTCAGTGCAGGGACTCAGGTGATGCCCATGCTAAAGGAACAGTGGGGGCGGGGACTGCAGGCAGGGCCTGTGTCAGGACCTGAGCTGCTCTGTGCTGGGACGGTGGATGAGAACCACCCACAGTGTGAGAATCAGTCTTTCTTCACGTGCTGCTGTCAGGTGAACCGGTGGCTACACGGCTGAGCACACCTGCTCCCCGTTCCGTTCCCCCCCATGGAACGGGGCTGGGTGGGGGACAGGTGCTTGGGTGCAGACGCCAGGGGACGGTCCCACTGCCGAGGACGCCCTGACCCGACACCGCCTGCCGTTCTAGGGACCGGGGTCTGGGGCAAGCAGAGGAGGGAGCGTGAGGTAGAAAGCACTAGGCGCTAAGTCAGGGTCCGGGAAAGGGTCTTTGAAGTGCCCTCTTCGGTCCCTAAGGAGGTCTTGGCTGAGGCTCCTGGACCAGAGGTGCGGACGTGCACGAGAGCATGGCCGGGGTCGGGGTCCTCTCTGCAGTGCCCCCGAGCCTGCCGTGCCCCAGGCCTGGTGGGAGGGAGGTAGTGACCCTGGGGGGACCCGCGCGGGACACCTTGTCATCGCCCCTGGTGGGACCAAGGATCACTTGGGACTTTTACCGGAGCCAGACTCCTCACTGAAGCAGCCGGGGTGATGGGCCGGCCATCCCGTCTGATCGCATGGAGAGAAGTCATCCACCAGCCACCAGTCTTTTGACCCTCGAAACTTTGATTTCTCCTGTAATGTTCCTCCTCCTCTCCCTCCCGCCCGGTTGTGCTTCCTTCCTCCCCGCTCAGGGACAAGGCCGGTGGCTATGGGATCCAGGCGCTGGGCGGCATGCTGGTGGAGTACGTCCACGGAGACTTCCTCAACGTCGTGGGCTTCCCCCTGAACCACTTCTGCAAGAAGCTGGTGGAGCTGTACTACCCCCCCCACCACGAGGACGTGCAGCGGGTCAAGCACGACTCCATCCCACCCGTCGACACTTTCGAGAACCTGAGCGACGTGGAAGAGGGCAGCTCAGACCCTGCTCGGGGCAATGAGGGTGGCGGCCACCGAAGGGCAGAGGCGGGCAGTGGCAGAGGACAGGTTCCTGCTGGCTCGCAGGGAGCAGACTCTCACGGGACAGTGGAGATCACGCCCCCGTTCCCAGCGGGCCTTCTGGAACTCGTGGAGGGCTTCAAAGCATCAAAGGTACCTGTCTGAGTGTCCTGGGGCAGCCGCAGCAAGTGACCGCAGACTGCGGGTTTAAAACCACAGAAATTCATCCTCTCCCAGGTCTGGAGACCAGAGGTCTGAGATCCAGGCGGGGCAGGGCTGCTGAGATCCAGGCGGGGCAGGGCCGTGCTCCCTCCCGAGGCTCCAGGGGAGGCTCCTTCCTGCCTCTTCCAGCTTCTGGGGCTCCAGGCGTCCCTGGGCTGGTGGCCACGTCCCTCCCATCTCTTCCTCCGTCATCATGTGGCTTCTCCTCCGTATCCATGTTTCCTCTTGTGTCTCTTACAAGGACACCTGTCATTGGATTTAGGGCCACCCTGATCCAGGATGAGCTCATCTCAGATCGTTCACTTCACATCTGCAAAGACCCTGTTTCCAAATATGGTCCCCTTCTCAGGTTCTAGGGGTCAGGACTTTGGCATATCTTTTTGGGGCCAGTGTTCAGCCCATAAGAGTGTCCCCAGCTGGTTTTCCACCTTCACTAAATGGCTTGGCACAGAGATACTGACTTCGGGGGCCACGGAGGCTGTGACCTGATTTCCCAGTGCGCACACCCTGGCGTGTGAGACTCCATGCTCAGGGCTGCGGTGGCCGAGGCCTGTGCCCAGCGGGGGCGAGGTGTCTGGGGTGTTTGAAGGTGAGCAGCGGTCATGGCCCCAGCCTGGGCCCACAGTGCATCGCTGGCCGGCTTCTCTGCAGCCCAGGGAGGCCGAGCCAGAACGCTGACCGGGCAGCAGCCTCGGGGTGTCCAGCATTCCCACCGGCCAGGTGGCAGGTGGACTCTAGCACTGGGTCACCAGCTGCCTGGAGGGATCTGCGACCTCGTCCTGCTGTGTGGCCTTGGGATCCCAGACAGCTGTCCCAGCCAGAGGGTGTCCCAGGTGGGGTGGGAACCTGCAGGGCACCGAGTGCTCGCCGGAGCTAGCCGGTGTCTGTGATTGTGGCCTCCCCATCCTTCCTGCACGGTCACAGATACTTCCAGGAAGCACCTGGGTGCCCAGGCCAGACTGGACAGCGTCTCAGGCAGAAGCCTACCTGGTCATCTCCCACCATCTCCGCCAAGGATGGGTCTGGTAGCGGCCGTCCCTGCATTCTGCCCTTCCACGCCCACGCAGCTGGTGCATCTGCTCTCCGGCCTTCTCCCGCTGCCCCACTCGGCTGACCTCCCAGCTACCTGAGTGGCTCTGGGCTTGAGAGACAGCAGGGAGATGGCCCCCTGTACCTGCGCTCTGCTGGGGCCACGTCAGTGGCTCTGGGGATGCTGGGTACACTGGGTGGGGGACTGCACCCTTCCCACACTCCACCCCTGGCCACCTCCCTGTGACGGCCTTGTCAGGGGCAGGAGCTCTCATGATTAGGAGAGGTGGTTGTGCTGGGTTGTACCTCCAAATATCAAGTTTTCCTGCAAGTAATAGTTAAAACAGGACTGCAGCGGCATCGTACCATCACTCGATTGAGCTATACTGTGATCCTGGCATCTGCCTATCTTTTTTTTCTTTTTAAAGACTTTACGCATCCATCTGACAGGGGGAGAGGGAGCATAAGCAGGGGGAGCGAAATAGGGAGACGGAGAAGCAGGCTCCCCACCGAGCAGGGAGCCCAACGTGGGGCTTGATCCCAGGACCCTGGAATTATGACCTGAGCCGAAGACAGACACTTGACTGACTGAGCCAGCCAGGCGTCCCTTCTCTGATCTGTTTATCTACCTACCTACCTATCATCAAACTATCATCTATCTATCTACCTGTGTACCTATGATCAAACTATCAATTATCTGTCTGTATGTCTATTTATCTGTCATCTGTCTGTCTCATCTGTCATCTATCTACTTGCCCACCTGTGTATCCGTCTGCCCACTTAGTGCATTGTTCTCCTTACAAAGGTGTCCCAGTGGTCAGGTGAGCTGACCAAGCTGAGGGGCAGTAGGGAGTCTCGGACCATATGTCACCTTGCCAGGTCCGTCACAGTAGTTCTAGAAGCAGCTCCGCGTCTGGCCCTTTGTGGATGTGCATCAGTTGTCACAAAAGGTTTTTGCGTTACAAGCTGAGAGCAGTGTGAGTGAAGGTCCTCTCTGTTACCGGAGGCCATGTGTCCTGAGCTTCATAGAGACTCTGCCCCTGAGGACAGCCCTTTGCCTCCAAATACTGTCACATCCTGAGGTCCTGGGAGTTAGGGCTTTAACATACAGATCTTGGGGGAAAACACAATTCAGCCCCAAACCGCAACATACTGGTTTTTCTCCCATGGGACAGTTTTTCCGCTTGGTATTCACTGATGTGCTTTTGCCTTGTGCAAACCTTGTACCAGCTGGAGCCTAAATCCACGGTTCTCTGGAGGAGACATTTCTATTGACAAGTTAAATACGTTTCACAGCTTTGACCTCCATGTCTTGGGTCTACAGGAGTCAAAAGTACAGGACAAGTCACGTAGTAAGTCTAACTGTACTTGTTTTTAATGGACAGGCCCTGTTCATAGCTTGCAAGCTGAAGGTGTTTGATGTACTCAAAGATGAAGCCCCACTGAAGGCCGTGGATATTGCAGGCAAAATTGACGCCTCTGTGTGTGGAACTGAACGGCTCCTGGATGTCTGTGTGGCCCTGGGATTACTAGAGAAGACAGACAGAGGTAAGAGGACATCGAAGTGTCTTGCTGAGAATCACTGTCGGTGGAAGTAAGTCACTGAGTGAAGGTGGGTTCTAAGCCAAGGCAGGGAGGACCAGACCCCCGGAACGTGGCTTTTCCCCAAGGGTAAAAAGCAGAGGATGGAAGAAAGGAGACATAAGTGTATGTGGGGGGATGTTTGTGTGTGCGTGTGTTAGGAGAGTGACTTCTTTATGGGCTCTGCTCTCAAAGGAGCTGTATCACTCAGGGTTCACCGGAGAAACAGAACCAAAGGAATATATATGTGTGCACATCACAGATACATGTTTGTTTTTACTTATTTAGACAAATGAGATGAATGGGTGGATACACATAGACAGATAATGGATTGGTAATAGAGATGAAAAATAGCTAGGTAGGTAACGGGGGATTTTGATGGATAGACTGATGGGTGGATAGATGAGTGGCTGAATGGATGGATAGATGGAAGGAAGGACAGATGGAAAGAAGGAAAGATGGTTGGGTGGATGGACAGAAGGCAGGAAAGAAGGAAGGAAAGTAGGATGAAAGGAAGGATGCATAAATGGGTAGATAGGAAAGTAGATGGATGAACACATGGATGGATGGATGGACAGGTGGATGGATGGGTGGATGGATAGGTAGGTAAGTAGGTAGATGGATGAATGGAAGGAAGGATAGATAGGTAGGCAGATGGGTGGGTGGATGGATGGGTGGATGGATAGATAGGTAGATGGATGGACAGGTGAATAGATAGGTGGATGGATGGATGAATAAGTAAGTAGTTAGATGGGTGGTTGGATGGGTGGATGGATAAGTAGGTAAGTAGGTAGATGGATGAATGGAAGGAAGGTTAAATGGATAGGTAGGAAGATGAATGGATGGGTGGATGGATGGATGGATAGGTAGGTAGGTGGATGGACAGGTGGATAGATAGGTAGGTGGATGGATGGCTAGGTAAGTAGGTGGATGGGTAGATGGGTGGTTGGATGGGTATATGGATAGGTAGGTAAGTAGGTAGATGGATGAATGGAAGGAAGGATAGATAAATAGGCAGGAAGAGAGATGGATGGATGGATAGGTAAGTAGATGGATGGGTAGATAGGTGGTTGGATGGGTGTATGGATAGGTAGGTAAGTAGGTAGATGGATGAGTGGAAGGAAGGATAGATAGGAAGAGAGGTGGATGGATGGATGGATAGGTAGGTAGATGGATGGACAGGTGGATAGATAGGTAGATGGATGGATGGATAGGTGAGTAGGTAGATCAATGGATAGGTAGGTAAGTAGGTAGATCGATAGGTAGGTGAGTAGGTAGATGGATGAATGGAAGGAAAGATAGGTAGGAAGAAAGGTGGATGGATGGATGGATAGGTAGGTAGATGGATGGATGAATAGGTAAGTAGGTAGATCGATGGGTATATGGGTGGTTGGATCGGTGGATGGATGGGTGGATGGATAGGTGGGTAAGTAGGTAGATGGATGAATGGAAGGAAGGATAGATGGATAGATAGGTAGATGGATGGGTGAATGGATGGGTGGGTAACAATGTGTTTGCTGAGATGAACCAGACTCTGGAGCACGGTCTCGGAGCAGACGGTCGTATGGATGGTCCCCGTGGATGGCTTGGGAATGATGGGGGAGGGTCGAGGACCCCAGGCAGGTGAGGCACCTTCACTTCTGTGATAAGGAGGAAAGCGGGGTGCTGGCATGGGCCCCAGAACCTGCCCTTTGCACAAAAGTCATACAAACGTCTGGTTACAATTTGGAGCATAGAAAGCAGAACTTTCTCCTCACCCAGATCATTGTAATGATCTCCTCTATCAAAAATAATGATTGAACCTAGAGAAAGTTCCGGGCGTCCAGACTTTTAATCACCTCGGAGCTTCTTCCTGCACATTTTTGCCAGTGCCTTGCAAACCCTGTGAACCATTCCCACACGTGCTCATGGGACATTGCTGCTCTTCCAAAGGCCCCTTTGGAAGTAACAACATTTAAGTATTAAAATGGTTGCAGTGCTGTTCTTTATCTCCGATGATTACAGTTGGTGGGGCCTTCCGTTGAGAGATAGGGGTCTCCCCCACCATCCCCTGTACCCCCAGCCTCCCATTCTCCAGATGTGGGTGCCCTGTAGGGGCTCTTGGGGACCAGGTCCTACAGACAGCCCGGCTGGGTGTGAAGAGGATGGAGGGAGGAAGAGCCCCACCAGTCCAGGCTCTCCAGAGAAACAGAACCTGGGGGATATAGACCTGCGGATGTATAGCAAGGAGATGGGTCATCCAGCTGTCTTGGGGGGGGGGGGATGGTTGAAAATCAATTCACAGTGGCCCTGAAGTCTTGAGGCAGAATTCCTTCTTGCTCAGCAAAACCTCATCCCTGCTCTTAACGCCTTCGACTGATTGGGCAGGGCCCACCCACATCGCCTAAGGTCATCTGGTTCTAGATGTCAAACCACCCTCCACAGCAACATCCCCCCTTAGCATTGCATTGAAGAACTGGGGACCGTGGCCCAGCCGGGTGACTGTCCCCGGGGCTTTGGGGGGATCGCCCGTGGGGATGTCCACCTCTTTGGGTAACCCAGGAGTCCACCTGCGTGCTGGGTCTGGGCTTGTCTCCCTGTGGAGCCGCCCCCATGTCAAGACCCCCGCTGTGGGGTCTGCTGCCGTGTCCCCGTTAGGAGCCCCCACGATGCCTTGTCGCGTCAGGTTACTGCAACACGGACCTGGCAGATCTGCATCTGGCGTCGGACGGCGAGTATTCTCTGCACGGCTTGGCCATGCACAGCAACGACCACGCCTGGAACCTCTTCACAGACCTGGAGCTCGCTGTGCGGGAGGGAGCCAACGCGGCTTTCGGGAGGAAGGCGGAAGACCCCGTTCAGGTACCGTAACTCCGGACGTTTGTTTTCATGTCACCGACGTAGCTTGCGAAAGGACCGACGGGTGCAGAACCCGTCTCCTGCCGGCGGGTTAACCGGAACCTGTTACAAAACCACGGAATGTCGGCCTCCGTGACGTCAGGAATCGTCTGGGGAGGCCGCCGCTGGCTGGCTGGCTGGTGTGGGTTGGGGGGGCACGGCGGGGGAATGGCGTGCTGGGTGCCTGGCTGCTCACGGCTCCGATGACCGTAAGGGCCAGGCAGCGCCCGAGAAGGAGACAATGTTTGTAGGACCAGGCTCCGGCACGGAATTAATGCACCGTATTTCCTACCTGCGGTTAAATCGAAGGGACCCTGTTACTCAAGTCACGGTTTGCGAAGCACTTCCTGCCTGTGTCTCTCCCTTGTTCCCCTTTCCCCTTCGAGAACCCTTTGGGGGTCCACAGGCAAACTGCGGTGTGTCCTGTCGGGCCTTCCGCCTCCGGCCGCAAGTCTGGGTCTGCAGAGCGGGACCCGATGGGTGCTTTGGGGTGCGCACGGCCATCTGCGGCCTCACTCCCTGGCAGGCAGCGTTTGCTGGGGCAGAGACCTACGGCGTTGAGCCAGGCTCTCCGCAGGATGCAGAACTGAGCCGGCCAGAGCACGCGGCTTGTATCCAGTCTGGGCGAGAGGGACGGAGACAGACAGTCTCAGAACCCCACAGACTACGGGGCTTACAAACAACACACATTTCCTTCTCGCGGTTCTGGAGGTGACGTCCAAGGTCAAGGTTCATGCAGAGTCGGGGTCTGGGGACCCCTGCTTCTCGGCTCATACTCAGCTGACTTCTCGCCAGGTCCTCACGGGTGGAAGGGGCAGGGGGTCTCTGCAGTGGGGGCTGCACCCTCATGACCTCATCACCCCCCGCCAAGACGCCCACCTGCTAACACCATCCCCATGGGGGTGAGGTTTTGACATAGGAAGTGGGGGGGGTGGTCGGACACAGAATCATTCCGTTCCCAGCAGAGACAGAGACACAGAAAGACCCACACTCAGGTGGACACAGAGGGAAGCCGCAGACGGGGTCCCCGGGAACAGAGCAGGAGGGACAGAGAAGCTGCACACGTGGACCCCACAGGGGAGCTGGGCGAGGCGCGGTTGTGTCTGGCTTCTGATCAGACTCTTGGCAGCACCGTGCCGCCTGCAAGGGCCACTGGGGGATCCCACCCCGTACGCCCTCCTGCTTGTTGTCCAGGGAGACCCTTCGTGGGGGTCTGGGGCCTCCAGCGTGACCGTCCCCATTGACTGACTTCAGATCTTAGACGTGGGCATCTGTTAGGATTAGGATGGGCGGATTCCACTGGAGCTGGACCCCAACCCACACCCACACCGCTGTGCTGGACACGGCCCTGCCCCCACGGGACCCCACCCCAGTCTGCTTCTGCCCCACCCAACCCCCACCTTCTCCACCAGTCCCTCCCCCACCCAGGTGTGCCTCGCAGGACTCTCCAGCTCCCAACCCTGCTCTGCCCCATCCACCCCCTCCCAACCCAGCTCTGCCCTGAAGGAACCCCCCCTGCCCGGGCCCCGACTCTCTCCTGACCCAGCTCTCCCCTCCCCAGCTGCCTTCGTCCCACCCACCCCCTCCCTACACCAGCTGCATCCAACCCCCTCCAAGCCCAGCTCTGCTCCAAAAGAACCCCCCACCTGGGCCTGGGTCTGTCCCCCAACCCCCCTCCTGGCCCAGCTCTGCCCTAATGCTCCCCGCCCCGTGAGCCCTACTGAGCTCCCTACCTGCAGAAACGCCCGGTGGCCCCCAGCCAGGGTGCAGGAACCCCCTGGGCCTCTGTGTGGCTCTCCTCAAACCCTGTTCTGTTTCAGAGCAAGCAGACCAAGCTGCAGTTCATGCGGGCCATGCACGGCCTCACCAACCTGACCGCACGCCAGGTGGCCACAGCCTTCGACCTGTCCCGATTCAGCTCCGCCTGCGACCTGGGAGGTGCGTAGCCCCCCTGCCAGGAGTCAGGTGCAAAGGGCTCCGTGCGTTTCTTGGGTTAAGTCATGCCCACCTCATCTGCTGATGAGATGTCCAAAACGGGTTTCTGTCTCTACAAAGCACCTAAGGCCCTGAATTTAGCCGCTGTGGTGGGGCTTGGGCAGATAGTCCCAAGTGTTAAGAGGTTCTAGCGATGGGCGGGACCCCCGCATAGAGTCTACAGGGCCCCTTCTGGTGGCTGCTGACGGGCGGGACAGGATCGCAGACCCCGTCGGCCCCCATCCCCTCAGCTCTAATTATGCCCCATATAGTTCCTACCCCATCCCAAAGCCCTCCTTATCCTAGGACCGCAGACGGGAGGAGCAGATTCCTGCTTAAGGGGTCCAGTGGGATTGGGGTCCCGGGGGAGCCCAGAGCTGCCAGCTTTCATTTGCCTGTCATCTGCACACCTTTCCTCCCAGTGGCCCAGAGTGGGCGCTGTGGCGCCAGCCATCACATCTGCATTCTTGCACCAGAGAAGAGATAAGAGTGCAGCCCCCCACAGCTGGGCCCTGATGCTCCCTGCATGAGTCTGTGGCCACCCCTGCTCATCTGCGCTGGGCCCGCACGGGCTCGCGCACCGGCTAGCGAGGTCCTGACCCCGAGGGGCCCCAAGGTCTGCATGAGGCAGCACAGATCTCTGCCGCCGGCTGCCTTTCGTTCGCGATGCCGGTCTTACTCTGTGTGCTCGGCCATCAGTTTGGCCCTGCCAAGGTTGAATTTGGGAGACCGGCAAGGGTTTCGTCGGCGCCAGGCGGTCGGGTCACAAAGTCTGTGTTTGCATTCCTGGAGGCTGCACAGGTGCCCTGGCCCGAGCGCTCACCCGGGAGTACCCGCGTCTGAAGGTGACCGTGCTTGACCTCCCGGAGGTCATCGAGCACGTCCCGTGCTTTCAACCTGAAGGACGGCAGACCGAGCGGGTCAGCTTCGTGCCAGGTCAGGGCTTCTTTGTCTTTGCCGTGAGTCAGTGTTGGGCCGGCCTCATCTGTTTCTACAGAGGGTGTGCATGTCCGCGTGTGTCCGTGTGTTTGCATACGTGCATACCTGTGTGTGAGGTGTTTGTGTCTCTGCACGAGCGTGCAAATGTGTGCGGTCTCAGTGAGCGTGTGTGCGTGTTGTCTGTCCGTGTGTGTGTGTGTGAATGCGTGTGTTTGCATACGTGCATACTTGTGTGTGAGGTGTTTGTCTCTGTGTCTCTGTGCACGAGCGTGCAAATGTGTGCGGTCTCGGTGAGCGTGCGTGCGTGTTGTCATCCATGTGTGCACATGCCTGTTGTCTTTATGTACACGTGTGTCCTCTGTATGCATGGCAGCGTGCGCCTGTGTATACGTCTGTTTGTGTGCCCGTGTATGCATTTGCATGCGTGTTGTGTTGTCTGTGTGCACATAGACACGCGTGTGCTGAATGTGTGCATGGCATGCAAATGTATGTCTCTGCGTGGACATGCATGGGTGTGTTATCTGTGTGAGTGTCTCTGCACGTATGTGCGTGTGCATACATGTGTATGTTGTCTGGATGTGCATGCAAATGTGTACGTGTCTCTGCGTGGATCTGTGCATCGTCTGTGTGCGTGTGCATGCGTATGAGTCTCTGTGCGTGCACGTGTGCATCTCTAAATCACGTGAACGGGAGCATGAGCAGCTACGTCAGTGGCATTGGAAGCGTCGGGGGAGGGCCGGTGGGGACGTGGAATGGCAGACACGGGCGTCTCCAGGTGTCTACACCCAACCGAGGCCACAAACAGACGTTACACGAAAGCCGGAGCAGGAAGGCCTTGAGTTAGACATGAGGGAGAGCTTCCAGGGGGCAGCCCTAAATGTGGGAAAGAAACCCTTCCCGTCCTGAATCTCGTGAACGCTGTGGCCCGGCCCCAGGGCAGACGTGCTGGCGGGCCCAGGGGTTCGGACTGGCATGTTTTGGGGCTCAGGACATGAGTCTCCCTCCCTACAAGCAGTCTGTCTTCTGCTCCAGCGGTTCTGGGGAGCGGCACCCCCCCGCCGTGTCTGTCAGTTGCGGGACCCGCTCCGGCGTCCCTGACGGGCTCCTGACACCGTGTTTGCACCCCAGGTGACTTTTTCAAGGACGGCCTACCGGAGGCAGAACTGTACATCCTGTCCAGAATTCTGCACGAGTGGCCGGACGACAAAGTGCACGAGTTGCTGAGCCGCGTCTCGGACAGCTGCAAGCCAGGTGAGACCGTGCCCCATCGGGTCCTTCTTGCAAACGCAAACGCCGTTTTCATTGAAAAACAAACAATTTACAGAGAGACAGCCAAATTGCCCCCTGGGGACCGTTTACCGTCCCCCTGACCACGTGCTTGATCCACAGGAGGGTGGCAGGAGCTTTGGGGACGTCTCACCTGAGTCCCCTCGTCCTGGACCCATAAAGCCAGGGACGGCGTCCATGCTCTCGGGCCCCAAAGTCTCCTGCATGCTCCCCCAGCCCTGTCCCTCTGTGGACACAGGCTGTGGCCTCTCCGAGTGGTGTCCTGAGCCCTTCGTGTCCAAACCAATTGGGGCCGACGTGCCCATCAGGCCACGGAGTGGGGCGCGCCCAGCCCCCGGGACCTCTTCCCGGGCCCTCAGAGGTCCCAGTGCCATAAAGCACAGCCCTCACTCCCGTGTCTTGTGCTCCTGGTGTCTTGCAAGGCATCTCCGTTGCCGCCTTGTGCACTTAGGGAACATAAACGATACAGCAATTCGCGGGTCCTTTTCTACACTGCGACGGGGCTTTTCTCTTCCACTCCGCGGCGCCGGGAGACGCCCCACGTGTTTGATCCCATTTCGCACACAAAGCAAAGCAAAGGTAAAGTGCAACGGAGTGTGTGTGTGTGTAGAGATAGAGAAAGAGAGAGGCACAGATTTATGGCCAGGAATTGGCTCATGTGATTGTGTAGCCTGGGACATCCAAAGTCTGCAGGGTGGATCAGGCACCTGGACACCCAGCGACAAGCTGATGCTGAGGGTGTAGGCTGAAGACTGGCCGGAGGCAGAATTCCCTCTTCCTACAGGTCAGTCTGTTTTTCTCTTGAGGCCTTCAACTGATTGGACGAGGCCCACCCACGCTACGGAGGGCCCCCTGCTTTACTCTGAATCTGCAGACCAAACCGCGAATCTCATCCAGAAGGAACCTTCCCAGGAACCCCACAGAATGATGCTCGACCGCATATCTGGGCACTGTGGCCCGGCCGACATGACCTGTAAAATTAAGCATCATCGCGAGCCCCTCCCCTGCAGGGGTCTGATGCCCCGCAGAGCCAGGAAGGCCATCTCTGGTTATCTGTGGCTCCCGGCTCAGACAAAGGGCCCCGTGGAGGGCGCACAGGAACGTTTTATTCTGGACAAGAGTCGGCTGACATTTTTGATGCGTCCTGTCCACCTCTTCCTCCAGGGCCCCCCTCCATGTGCCGGCCGCTCTGTGTCCGCCCCCACAACTCCCATCCTCCAGAGAAAAGCCCCCTGTCCCCGGCTGACATGGGGGTTCTAGCTCCAAGAGCGCCAAGCCCCCACTCTTCACAGGTGAACAGGTATCTAGGCTTTGAAGACACACGTGGGGACTGTGGGACAGAGCATCATCAAACAGCTTCATGGAGGCAGAGGGTGGAGTCTGTCCGTCTGTGCACAGAGCGTGGCCATAGGAGCAAAGAATAAGAAGGTTCTTACAAATGAAGAATAAGGCAGAGACGGATTGGACCTACAGCCACGGCACAGAAAACCAGACGATTCAGGGTTCCAGCCAGGAGCCCTAACGCCCAACCCGCAGGGAACCAAGGCCCCAGGAGCCAGAAGCCAGGAAACCACCACATCCCATATAGGATACAAAGCTGACATTTGAGGATCCCGGGGACCCAGAGATGAGCCTGCGTGGAAACTGAGTCACGCACCAGGAATGGGCATCAGAAACACATGGGGTCCCTCAAAATCAGCGTGAGGACAGCAGGGCCACAGTATATATTCAGCAGGGAGGGGGGCTGGGTGGCTCAGTCCGCTGAGCATCCGACTCTTGATTTCGGCTCAGGTCATGATCTCAGGGTCGTGGATCGAGCGCCGAGTCAGGCTCTTGGTCAGCGTGGAGTCTGCTTGAGAGTCTCTCTCTGTCCCTCTCGCTCGCTTGCTCTCTCTAAAGTGAATAAATCTTAAAAAAATGCAGCAGGGAAAGTGAATCCATAGATTCCCAAATTAGCGGTTTACATGTGTAGACAGAAGTACTGTAGACATTTGTGGACTCAGTGAGCCTCCCACCCGCCCCCTGCCATTCCTAGGAGGCTCCTGGAGACATTCTGGAGTGAAGTGCACATGGACACCCAGGAACTGGGACACTAGGGTTCTCCCACTACAGGACAACATTGGGGGGCCCCAGGTGACGGCCCAGGCAGGGACGGGGGCGGTGCGAGGCCTGTGGGCTGGACACGAAGAGACACGGACACAAGATGAGTTATGTCACATGCTGGAGGGTTTGGAAACAGTATCACAAAGTGTTGACAAATCTACCAGAGCATTTGGGAACATGTTAACAAGAGCTGCAGAGAAAATTAAGCAACTTCTTTTAAATGAGCAAATTTCAGGGCCAAGATAGCGTAGTTAAGGCATCCTTGTTGGTCCATGTAGCAGGATGACTTGTTCAACCTTCCCCCCCCCACCCCAAATTCATGTCCACTTGGAACCTGTGAATGGGACCTTATTTGGAAATAGGGTCTTTGCAGATGTGAAGTGAAGGATCTGAGATGAGCTCATCCTGGATCAGGGTGGCCCTAAATCCGATGACTGGTGTGCTTGTAAGAGACACAAGAGGAGACACGGACACAGAGGAGAAGCCACGTGAGGACGGAGGCAGAGATGGGAGGGACGTGGCCACGAGCCCAGGGACGCCTGGAGCCCCAGAAGCTGGAAGAGGCAGGAGGGACCCTCCCCTGGAGCCTCTGGAGGGAGCATGGTCCTGCCCCGCCTGGATCTCAGTGGTCCTGCCCCGCCTGGATGTCCGACTCTGGTCCCCAGAGCTGGGAGAGAATAAGTAACCAGTCTGTGGTCATTTGTTGCCACAGGCCCAGGACACGCATGCTGTAAGTGAGAAGCGTGGTCATACCCATGTCACATGGGCTCACCACGAAGAATGTGGCCCTGGAAGACTGGTTTCTGCCTGTTTCTTCCCCACTGCATTCCCAAGCCCTGGAACAGAGCCCAGCCCAGAATGGATGTTCACAAAGCTGAGAATGAAAGAATCGTAAAACTGTAGTATCCCCTGGGGAGGAGACGGGGTTGGGGATTGAGCTCTGGGTGAATCCTCACCCGCCTGGGGAGACAATTAAGTTTCAAGGAGTATTTATACTGTAGAGGGAGTGGGGTGGGGGTGGGGTTGTGCACGGGGTCATTGAGGCTTCTCCCCCACTGGCTGGAACCGCTGGGTAAATTTTCAGGAATGCTGCCCACCCGCCCATTCGTGCCAAGCTTGAAATTGGCCACGAGACACGTCCTTACAACACAGACCCTGGCAGCCGCTAGGAACCAGGGCTTCCCTCCACCCCCAGAGCTGGGAGTTCAGTGGTTAGCTGCACCAAGGGCAGAATGGGGGGGGGGGGAGCCTGGGGTCCGCAGGACAGAGCGGAAAGTGGGTCGTTTTAACCTAAGTCTTCTGGAGCCCGTGGTATTAATGGCTCGTATGTGTTACTTTGAAAAACACAAAGACTGATACACTACAGAGCGAGCATATATGCTCAGATCCCGGTTCTGTTAACTGCCTATTCACTGAAATGCCTGGAACCAGCAGAAGACGCACCAGAATTCTCCCAGTTGCCGTCACTGCTGTGGTGTTCCTGTGTCCCTTGCCCCTTGTCCGTGGGCCTCAGTTTGAAGAACCACCACATAAAGCAAACATAACCTACTTCCGGGCTTCTTTCCATCCCAAGGGTGTTAGGTTCCCGAGGCTTGGTTTTTGCATCCTTTCTGAACGCTTTTGAGGAAAACAGAGGCGCAGACAGACGTCTATAGGGGCGCGCACACTTTGTTCTTGAAGCTCTCACGCTTTGTGCACCAGTAATCCAAGCGTTCCTGGAACTGGCGGGCTGGTCCTAACCCTGCTCCAGAGCTCCCGGTTGCTTATGGGATTTCCAAAGTGAATGCGTGCTCCCTGACGGGATCTCGGGTCCCTACACCCAGAGTTCCTGACTTGTTTCCCCACGCGGTGAATCCATAGTGGAGCCTCGGGCTGTGTGCGCGTATGCTGGGCATCTGTCCAGAGTGGGCCCTGAGACTTCTCCCTGTTTTCTTCTCCCCTCCATGTCTTTCTGTCTCTGTGCCCCTCTGGTTCTGCTTCCCCAGCCTGGCGGGCACTGTCCTCAGCCTCCCTGCAAGTAGCCCCGACCTCCCGTCCCCCTCGAAACCAGCCGCCCCAACGGGGCTCCCCGCTGAATCTTGCGCACCACTCCAGCCTCCGCACAAGTATCCCCGACCTCCCGTCCCCCTCGAAACCGGTCGCCCCAACAGGCCTTCCGCTGAATCTTGCGCACCATTCCAGCCTCCACACAAGTGGCCCCGATCTCCTGTCCCCCTGGAAACCGGCCGCTGAGTCGTCTTGCGCACGACTCCGGCCTCCCCGCAAGTAGTCCCGACCGCCCGTCTCCCTCGAAACCGGCCGCCCCAGCGGGGCTCCCCACTGAGTCTTGAGCACCACTCCGGCCTCCCCGCAAGTAGTCCCAACCCCCGTCCCCCTCGAAACCGGCCGCCCCAGCGGGGGTCCACGCTGAGTTTTGCGCACGACTGCAGCTGGCTGTGTTCTTCGCAGGCGGTGGCATCTTGGTGGCTGAGACAGTCCTGGAGGAGAAGCGACCAGCACGGGGCAGCCTGCCCGCGTCCTTGAACCTGCTGGTGCGGACCCAGGGGCGGGAGCGCAGCCTGCCCCAGTACCGCAGGCTGCTGGAGCTGCATGGCTTCTGGGACGTCCAGCTGGCGCACGCGGGAGACAGGCTGGACGTGGTCCTGGGCACCAGAGCCTCGCCACCCTGAGGCCCCCGGCATTACACGCTGCTCTCCCAGGAGGCCCACGGGGCTCCCCGTCCCCAGTGTTGGCCGCCAGGTGCAACGATAACCGATAGCTCACCAACCATGTAACCTAACAGATTAAAGCAGCAAAACGCACTTGCTCCAAGCTCGTTTGTGGGTCCCGAGATGGGACAGGCCGTGCCCAGAGGGGGGCAGCGCCGGCCAGGGGCTCGCCCGAGGTCCCGCCCGTGGCTGGAGCCCCTCCGCCTGTGGAAAGGCGGCGTGGCACCCAGGGGCACGGTGGGCAGGAGCCTGGGGCCTGCCTGGCGCTCTCCAGCAGGTGTCAGCGTTCGGCGCTGCCCTGGCCCCCACCTGCTGACATGGTTGAGCCCCTCCTCCTTCACGCCTGTTCTAAACGTGCTTGTCCATGTGAGTCCCAGGGGCACCCGGGGACACCTGCAGTGTGATGGGTTCCTGGGGCGCCCCATCTCCTACCCCCTCTGCCCGGATGCTGGGAGGCAGGGCCACCTCCGCCCCCTGCGACATGCGCTCGCTCTCTCTCTCTTTCTTTCAAATAAATGAATAAAATCTTCTTAAAAATTAATAATAAAAAATAATTGTAAAAATAAGCTACTGTATGTAGCTCGTAAAATAGACAAGTATATGCAAATTCTCTCTGTATATGAACATATTTTATATAACAATAAATTGTCTTATATACAATTATATAGGTATATATACTTATAACGTGTATCCTACATATTGTGTATTATAATTATATATATATATATTCCACACAGACATAAATGCATACTTTTGGTTGGAGTCCAAATTTTTTTTTTTTTTAATCACCAGCTGTGTCTCCATAGGAGGCTGCGATGGAGGAAGGAAATTAAACGCTGATCTAAGGGGCTGTGCTGTCCAGTGGGGTGACCACAGTGGGTGTTAGGAACAAAGGTTAACAGCTCAAGGCTCCTCCATCCCTGTCGCCTGGCCCTGGGGTGGCCCCGGGGAAACATGGCTTCTCCCACCCTGGGGCCCCTCCTCCACCCCACCCAGCCCCCACACCGGCTGGACGGTGCTCACATCCGCCGTGCTCGCTAGCTCCAGGTGGGTGGAGCTGGGAGACACTGACCCGGTCACCTTGGGCCACCCCGGTCAGCCTCCTTTGCAACCTGGGAGAACAGGGCAGTCTCTGCAGAACACCTTTTGTGTATCGGCCCGGCTGGGCAGGTGGAGAGCTGTACCCTCCCCAGTCACACCACACACCTGTTCTCCGGCCCGCTGGGGTGGCCCACGAGCTGTCCCAAGGACACCGGGTTTGTTAGAAGCAACGATGCTTCTCACCACCTCTGGTTCCTGCCCGCGTGGCTTGGAACACCCAACCCACCATGCGTCTTGGCTGCCCTGTGGTGGCCGCACGCAGGGCCCTCACCCCGGGACCCCAGGGGTGGCCGACCCTGAGTTTGCACACCCACAACTGTGCCCTGAAACCCAGGACCCACCCGAGGGAGACCCCGGGGTCGAGAACAGCGGCCGGATAACATTTGAGAACGATGCAACAAACGGTCCGTGGGTTCGTTATACCCCTCACTGCCCTGTTTGTGTCTGCTGGAACTTTTCGTAGGAAAACATCAAAAAATGAGAAGAGAAAATGGGACTTCTATACTATAGGACCTGACTTTCCATTTATTAGGAATGCTGTGCACAAGCTATCTTTAGGGAGTCTGAGAAAGAACGTAGAGGGTGTGCGTGCAAACATGTGCATATGTCTTTCAAGGGTTTTCACTCTTTAGGAATCAATAGGGCTTTCGAGGTTGGAATTCTGTGCCTGACCTGGCTTTTCGAGGTTGGAATTTCTAATTCTGTGCCTGACTTCACCCACCCACCCCGGTGATATTCATTCACTGATGCACACATGCTTTCATTCAGCAGGTATCCACACTGTCTGAATGCATCACTAGATACAATCTGCCCTGCAGACCCTCGAGGGTGGGAGTAGGACAGGAGGCCATATAGATAACACCAGAGAAGACATCCCAACGCAGAGTCCCGTGTGGGAGTATCTGGCACCGTCCCTGGGCAGCCTCCTTGCCAAGCACCAGACCCGGTTACTTAAAAGCAGGGCCTCCGTGAATGCACCCCCCACCCCGGGGAAGGACTCACCCACGGCCTGGATCAACCGCCCCCCACTCCATGCTCCACCCCCGTCACTTCACTGCCCCGTTCTAAGCCATTCGCTGAAATGCACATCTTTTAAAACTGATTTTTAGGACAATCTCCTTTTTAATTCACACCCCCATTTCTCAGATACTTTGGGGAGGCGGATTTAAGCACCAGCTGGCCGGGCAGTGGCTGACCTCCAGCAGCACCCAGGTCGCTGTCTTAAGTCTTAGGAATGTGGGGCCCTTTTCAGTCTCCCCGTGGGGGCTGGATACTTGACCCTTTGGAAGACCCCACCCACCCTTTTTCCCCCCACCATCCCACTTTAGGCATCCTCTCCCTCTTTCCTGTCTGGCCGGGGGGGGGGGGGGGGGGGGGGGGGGGGGGGCAATCTACCTGGACGGTACTTTCCCAGGTACATGAGGCTCTTGGTTTCTGGTGTTCAGACCCCGCTGCCCCCTTGGGTCAGCCCCCATGGAGCATGGGGGCCATGTGACCCACCCCCCCACACACACACACATACCAAGGACAAACAGGTGAGTGCCTGAGTCTAACCCCCCGTAGGAAAACGTGTTCTGAACGCCAATTAGCAATAAAAGAAAGAGGCCTCCCTCCCTCCCTCCCTCCCTCCCTCCCTCCCCCCTCCCTCCTTCCTTCCAGAAGTGTTCTCCAGGGCCCCTGGGGCACCATGCTGACCACTGGGGTGGTCACTGGGAATCCAGAGCACAGGAAGGGGAGCAGACCACTCAGAGGCTATCCGCCCCCACCTACATAAGAGGGTCACTCTACGGAAGCACCTCATTCCAAGTCCTAGGCCTGGAGTTCCCCAGTCTGAGCAGACCCCAACCAGCTGCATCCTGAATGAGCAACTGGTTGGCCCCTGCGGTGCCCCTGGGGGGTGATAATCATTGCCAGGGCCCCTTCTGGCCCAGACAGGCTGATCCTGTTCTCCCTGGGAGTGCCCAGACAGGAGCCTCTGAGCGAACTCGGCACCCAGGCCAACCCTCCGTCCTCTTCTGCAGAGCCCCATAGCTGCTCTGGCCAGGGTGGGGCTGGACCCTCTAGGGACCTTCTCCACTTCCTGTCCCAATGAAGCCTCAAGAATGCACCGGAACCTCCAATGCCCTCCCCACAGCCATCCTCGAAAGCCCAGACCCTCTCACCATTTAAGTAACTTCGGAGTGCCGCCCCACCTCCCCTCCTACAGTGGATCAGCACCTGCACCCTGGCCAGCCTCAGGCGCCTATGAGCCTTACCTGCCTCTCCTGGAGGTCAGGACAGGACGGAGAGAGGCATTTGCCAGGACACCGGGGACTGGCAAAATCACAGGCTCAAGGTGCCCCGGAGCTCTCCTGGATATTTTGCTGGCATCCATCCATCCAGTACAAGGGTTTTCTACCTGCTACTGGGGACACAGGAAACCAAACAGAAGTGGGGCAAGCACCGAGGAAAAAAGAGGAAGGAAGAAAAGAAGAAACAGGGAGGAAGAGAAAAACAGGGAGGGAAAAGACCCAAGAATCCTTGCCTGAGGATTGCTCCTAAGGATCTTGTTCGGAGCTCGGTGTTTACACCACTGTAAAATTCAGCTAATGATACACTTACTACTCCTGCCATTTGGTTACAATTCAATAAAAGGTTCGGGACTCGAGACCTCTGGGCTTGGTGAGCTTCCATTCGGGGATGTGCTCCTGTGGGTGCATGGGAGTGGGTATGTACGTGTGTGTACAAGTGCACATGAGTAAGGAGTAGGTATGCACGTGTGTACAAGTGCATGCATGTAAGGAGTGGGTGTGCACGTGTGTGTACGAGTGCATGTAAGGAGTGGGTGTGTACGAGTGCATGTAAGGAGTGGGTGTGCACGTGTGTACAAGTGCACGTGTGTAAGGAGTGGGTATGCACCTGTGTACAAGTGCACGTAAGGAGTGGGTATGTGCGTGTGTGTACGAGTGCATGCGTGTAAGAAGTGGGTATGCACGTGTGTGTACGAGTGCACGTGAGTAAGGAGTGGGTATGCACGTGTGTGTACGAGTGCACGTAAGGAGTGGGTGTGCACCTGTGTGTACAAGTGCACACGTGTAAGCATGCACACGTGTGCAGCTGGCTGAGCACCGACCCGGTGCGCTGAGCGCCGGCATGGATCACCAACCGATGCGGGCTGTGAGGCCCCCACTTGCGGGTGGGGTCCCCCAGGGGGGCCCAGCGCGGCCAGACCCGGGATGGTCTGGGGTCTCTGGGGCAGGGGCGTGTCTCGAGATGTGTCAGTGGCGGGGGGGCCCTCCCGCTGTTCTGGAGGTCTAGGTGAAGGACGGTCCGGGAGACAACGGCGGAGGCCGCGGGTCTTTGGGGTGAACGCGGGGGTGGGTGGCGACCTGACCTCAGGCGTCTTTGGGGCGAGCCAGGGCGTCGCGACCTGACCTCGAAGGTCAGCAGGGAGAGCCAAAGGGTAGCGGCTGGGCATGACGGGCGCGGGGGTGATCGGGGCGAGCTCGGTGGTCATGGTCGAGCGTCGGTCAGAGAGATGGGCCAGGGGCTGGGGTTCGCGGGTGTTCCGGGCGTGCCAGGGCGTCGCGACCTGACCTCGGGGGTCAGCAGGGAGCGCCAAGGGGTTGCGGTCGGGAATCGAGGGTGGTGTTCGGGGCGAGCTGGGGGGTCGCGGTCGGGCGTCGGTTAGCGAGATGGGCCAGGGAGGGGCTCGGGAGTGTTCGGGGCGAGCCCGGGGGTCAGCAGGGAAAACCAAGGGGTGACGGCCGGGAATCGGGTGTGGGGCGTGTTCAGGGCGAGTCCGGGGGTCGCGACCTGACCTCGGGGGTCAGCAGAGAAAACCAAGGGTGACGGCCGGAAATCGGGGGTGGGGCGTGTTCGGGGCGAGCTCAGGGGTCGCGGTCGGGCGTCGGTCAGCGAGATGGGCCAGGGGCTCGGGGTCGGGGGTGTTCGGGGCGAGCCCGGGGGTGACAGCCGGACCTCGGAGGTCAGCGGGGCGAACCTCTTCCAGCGGTTTGGAAGGAGCCCGGGCGCGGGGACCCAGCGACGCCCGGCCTTTTTCCGCCCGCTGCGCGCGCCCGGGCCCCACGGCGCCCTTGACAAGGTCACGGTGGCGGCCGAGCCCCTCCCCGGCCGGTACAGCGCATGGGCGGGGCCCCGCTCCCGCCATGCCCCGGGGCGCGGCGCGCGGGGAGGGGCGGAGCCGCGGCAGGGACGTGGCCAATGGGCGCGGCGCTGGCGGGCGCGGGGCGGGGCGCGGCGCGGCTCCCGGCAGCCCGCGGGGGCGCGGCGCAGCCAATGGGCGCGCCGGGCGGGGGCGCGGGGCGGGGCGTCGGGCCCTTAGCGGCTGCGCGCTGGCCGCCCCGTCTTTTCGGTCCCGGCGGCGGCAGCGCTGAGCCAGCGGCGCCCACCCTCCGGCTCTCCGCGCCTGCACTCCGCTGTCCGCCCGCTGCGCCGCCACCATGACGGAGCAGGCCATCTCCTTCGCCAAGGACTTCCTGGCTGGAGGCATCGCGGCCGCCATCTCCAAGACGGCCGTGGCCCCGATCGAGCGGGTCAAGCTGCTGCTGCAGGTGCGGGGCGGGCCGCGCGCGCGCTCGGGGGGCGCGGGGCCGCGCTGCGGGGGCTGCAGGAGGGGCGGCGAGAGCAGGGCGGCCGGCCGCGTGCACCGGGACCGGCCCGGCGCGCGGGCGCCGGAAGTGGGAGGCCGCGCCGCTTTGTCCGCGCGCCGCCGGGTTCCGGGGCCGGCCGCGCGTCACGTGGGCGCTGCCGCATCCGCGGGGGCGGGGCCTTGGGCGCGCACGCGCGGGCCGCGCCGGGAGGGCTCTTCGCGCGTGCGCCGGGGACAGGATGGGGGGGCCCCCCCCGCGCCAACCCCACCGCCTGGGGCGAACGGAGCGCGGGAGCCCCGCTGCTGCCGCTTTTGTCGCTCGCTGGGTCTTGTCCCGCTCGAAAGCGGTGTGCGCGGCTGCAAACCCGAGGGAGCGCGCCGGTGGCTACATTGTTGCAACGTCCGGTGGCAACATTGTTGCGGCGGCGCCGTTGACGAGCTCGGTAAACGGGTTTGCTGGGCTCTGAGCTCTCCCGACCAGGCAGCGCGCTCAGATGCACGAATTAGTTCTCTAGGGGCGGCTGCGGGTACCGGGGGTCGCCCTCTTGCGAGCCTGTCCGTCCGTCCGTCCGCCCTGCAGGTGCAGCACGCCAGCAAGCAGATCGCCGCCGACAAGCAATACAAGGGCATCGTGGACTGCATCGTGCGCATCCCCAAAGAGCAGGGCGTGCTGTCCTTCTGGAGGGGCAACCTGGCCAACGTCATCCGCTACTTCCCCACGCAAGCCCTCAACTTCGCCTTCAAGGATAAGTATAAGCAGATCTTCCTGGGGGGCGTCGACAAGCACACGCAGTTCTGGAGGTATTTTGCCGGCAACCTGGCCTCGGGCGGGGCCGCCGGAGCCACCTCGCTCTGCTTCGTGTACCCCCTGGATTTCGCCAGAACTCGCCTGGCCGCCGACGTGGGCAAGTCCGGCACCGAGCGGGAGTTCAAGGGCCTGGGAGACTGTCTGGTGAAGATCACCAAGTCCGACGGCATCCGGGGCATGTACCAGGGTTTCAACGTCTCCGTGCAGGGCATCATCATCTACCGGGCGGCATACTTTGGCGTGTACGACACAGCCAAAGGTGGGTGTGTCCTCGCGTTGGGGCTTTGACGAGAATTTCAGGGTGCACCGTTAACACCCTGAAAGCAAGCCTGGGCCTGCCAGCGTCGAGGGCTGGAGTGCCTGCAGCAGAACAGGTTCACGTGTGCGGTGTGTGCGCTTCGCGGGGCTGGTCGGACCCCTGCTGTACAGAGAAGCCGCTCCCAGGCGCTAAGTCTGGGGCTCTGGGACTGTCCTGGGACCTGCGAGCGGTTCCTCCACCTTCCCACCGCCCCCAGCAGGCCCTGGAGCAGAACCCGTCCTGCCACCGGTGTTACCTGGTGCCAGGAGCTCCCCGTGGAGCCAGGGTGGGCAGTACTGATCGTGGACTGCTGTGTGTGCAACGCTAGGACCTAACTCTGACCGGTGACCCCGCAGGCATGCTCCCGGACCCCAAGAACACCCACATCGTGGTGAGCTGGATGATCGCCCAGACCGTGACGGCCGTGGCCGGCGTGGTCTCCTACCCCTTCGACACTGTGCGGCGGCGGATGATGATGCAGTCGGGGCGCAAACGAGGTATCTTGTCTCGGTCCTGGTGACAGTGGCTTGTTCTTGGGAGATGAGAAAACGCGAGAGCTCCTTGAACGAATGGCCCTTTGGCCTCAGCCCTCAGGAGGCGTGAGCTGGCAGACAGGCGCTTCCCAGGGAGCTTTGGGGCAAGGTCTTGTGGGCTGCCTTCACGGGGGGGGGGGGGGGGGGGGGCCTGGTCAACGACAGTAATTCTCCAGGCAGCTCCAGACCTACACAGCCCTGCGGGCTACCTGCCCTTCCTTTGTTCTTGTCTCTCAGAATGGCCAGAGCCCTTGTATTGACCCCAGGGGTGGAGATGGGGCTCCGGGGTGGCTGGGGGCTCGAGTTTCTCGATCGATCATCCCTGTCCATCTCCCCACCCACAACCGTGGGCTGGGCAGGGGCCGTAAACCTGGGCCGTTGGTGCGCAGACCCTCATTTGTCCCTGTGATCGGAAATCCAGTTCATCCCGAGAGTAGCGTCCGATTCGGTGTCTGTAACGTGTCTTCCGCGGTTCCCTTTGTGCCCCTTCCCAGAACAACAGCCCATTCAGCTCTCCTGTCTCTCCCTCTTGCAGCGGACGTCATGTACAAGGGGACGATCGACTGCTGGCGGAAGATCTTCAAAGATGAAGGGGGCAAAGCCTTCTTCAAGGGCGCGTGGTCCAACGTCCTGAGGGGTATGGGGGGCGCGTTTGTGCTGGTCCTGTACGATGAGCTGAAGAAAGTCATCTAGATGTTCTTCCTCCAGACGTGGGGACCCAGGCAATCCTGTAGAATACTTGTAACTGTTACGGACCATTGATCTTCGAGAAATTCCAATGTCCTTGTCCCGGCCAGATCACGTGTAGAGGGCTGGGGAAGGTCCCAAAGGGGGCTCATTGTGATGGACCATTGGCACCAGATTCCGTGTGTTGATTACGGGGGGGGGGGGGGAGGGGAATCACGAGGTCTTCGTGGGTCCACAGGCAGGCAGCTCCGCCGCACAGACCTTCGAGTCCAGGTGCTTGCGGGACCCGAGTCGTGTTTAAGTATTTATTTAAAAAAAAAAATCATGTCTCCATTTGTACTTAAGCACTCTTCTCTTTTGCACAACCGAATATTTACGATTATGTGTCATGTTGGGCATTCTGCAAAACCATAAAAAAACGGGACACAGAGACTCTGGTGGTTTGTTTTCAACTAAGCGGTCTTGTGGGGTTGGGGTGGGAGACACGAGGAGGGCCACGTTCTGCCTTATGTTGGGTCCTCTAGCAGCCTGGCGGGATGGCATTCATAGCACCCCAGTGGGGAGGGGATGGAAACTAAAATAGGCACATCACAGGCTGCTCATGCAGGGGGCTCAGAGAGAGCCCCCTTGGGTGGTAGACCAGTGTGAGGGAGCCTGGGGGCATCTGAGCCTCCCTGCTCCAGGGATCTTTCAGGAGACAGACCTTCCTTAACCTTCCACGAGCTTCTGGGGCCCCCTATGTCCCCCATTCAAGTTAGTTTTCCTGCTGAGAAAAACCAGCCCAGAAGAGGCCACAAGCGGCCGCATCCTGTGACCCATGTCAGCCCTGGGCACTCCCGACAAGAATCCATACAGGCAGGCCCCAGACCCTGGGACAGGTCCACATCCTCTTACAGAGCCATGTCTGCACAAACACCAACATGCACTGCGGGAGGAAAGTCTCTTCCAGGCTGAAGGTTGGATCTTAGCATTGTTTCGGGGTGACCTGGGCTAGAAAGGCCAACAGGTTTCTGGAACCTCTCCAGGGCTGCGGCGTCCTGGACACGGAAGGCCAGTTTCCTTTTCAAGACTGGTGAGTGCAAATGCTTGTTCTGCCGCAATTGGGGTGGGGAGGTTGGGGTCCAGTTAGAGATGAAGTTTGAGCTTTGGGGTCACAAAGCAGGTTAAAAGGGGTTGGGACAGGACCGTGCACCCTTAGACCCGTGTTTACTCTGCCCAACTCCACAGACCAGCCTCGCTGGGAACCTCAGCTTCTTGAGCCCTGGTGTTCTGGATGGAATGACGGTCCGTGGACGCTGCCTCCCGCCTGGAGCCATGTGAACCGCTGGACTTGGAGACCTGCTTTCACCCCCTGCTCATCTTCGGCTAGTTGAACAGTCCGTCCGTTTATGCAGCCAGGCCCTTCTTACCTTGGCCAGCAGGTCCCCAAATACCCGCGGGTGCTGGTGGCCTCAGTAATATTTCTGCAGTGACGCTGGGGTCCTTTTTGGCACGGCTGGTTCTGCAACGTTCGGGTGCTCGCCTACCACCCTACACGAAACGTTCCAAAGGATAAGCGGCCCCTCCCTCAGTAAACGGCCGAGCGCGGTGTGTCCAGGGAGCCCTGCCCCTGGGAGACCCAGGCTCCTGTGAGGCAGGCGGTGTCCACAGGTTTGCAGCGGGCGGGCTGACGTGGCTCCGTGTGAGGAGTCCCCGCCGGGGGCAGTGCAAGGCCACGCTGCAGGGGGCGGTGTTGGCGGACAGCCAGGCCCCCCGAGCGTCCCAGGTGCTGCTCTCCCCATCTCGGGGTGCGTGGCGGCTCCTCCGTGTCAGCAGCTTACACTGAGTGCAGCGAGAAGACCAGAGAACCAGGCGTGGCCGCTGCAGGGACTCAGACCAACCAGTCTAGCCAACCTGTTAGCGGCAACCTGGATGGGGCCCGTTTCAGGAGGCGGGATACGGGGGCCCCAGGGGCCTGGCGTGGCGGGCTGTATGCCACCCCCCGAGCCCAGGGACTGGGTGGAAACGGCGTTTATTTACGAAATGAGCCTGACACAACTCTTCTTCCTCGGTTGTAGCGGCTCCGCAGAGAGTGCGCTGGGGTGTCCCTCCCCCCACCCCCATACAGTCGGACCGTCTGTTGGTCCAACCGCAGCCAGGCTGTGCGGGCACCTGGCCGTGCAGAGAAGGAGGTCTGACGTCCTGTGTCATGTCTCCCCCAAAACCTGCACCTCCGCCACTGGGCAGTCCTCCCGGCTTGCTCTGCTGGTCTCCCAGGCCACCTGCAGGGGACAAGGGGGTCAGGCTGAGCCGCAGAGCTGTAGTCTTGCAGCAAGGGTCCCCCCCGACCCCGAAAAGCCGCAGGGGCCTGACTGGTCCTGGGCACTTTGGTCACTGGGGCTCCAGGCCTTGCCCACCTGCAGGAGCGCCTCGGGCGAGCGCCCATCTCCTCACGTGACCATCACCTGGCAGTCTTGCCCTTCTTCCCGCCAGGGCCAACACGCAAGCATCCTGCTCCCCAGGAGGGGCTGTGGCCACCCCGTCCCAGACCCACCCACCCCACCCCCAGCAGAAGCCCAGACGTACCAACTTGCTGTTCTGAAGGTTGTTAGCGATGGGGTCTTTCATGTGAGGGATAGGGGGGAAGAGCTTCTGCAACACTGAGTACCTTGGAGGACAGAGAGACACTGGCTCTGAATCCAGAACTCGGGAGGGGGGGGACCGGAGAGAGCCGCAGGCTCCGAATGGAGAACTCGGGGGGGGCACTGGACGCCAGAGAGAGCCGCAGGCTCTGAATCCAGAACTCGGGGGCCCCTGGACACCAGACAGAGCTGCAGGCTCAGAATCCAGAACTCGGGGGGGGGGGGCACCGGAGAGAGCCGCAGCCTCCGAATCCAGAACTAGGGGGCACCAGACGCCAGAGAGAGAGCCGCAGGCTCCGAATCGAGAACTCGGGGGCCCCCGGACACCAGACAGAGCTGCAGGCTCCGAATCCAGAACTCAGGGGCCCCCGGACACTGGGATGGAGTTAGGACTCTAGCCCCAGGGTGGGGGTGGGTGGGGGGCTGGTCTCTACTGCCTGCCCCCAGCACCAGGTCTTACAGCCAGGAGCAATCCTGGTCTGCAGGGGCCAAATGCTGATCTGCTGGGGCCCGTGCACCCCACCCCGACCCCTGCCACAGACCCCTGGCCCCCAGGCTGCTGGCACCCACCACGGACCCTGCCACTGCCCACGGCTTCCACACAGACCAGCGGCCCCTACCTGAGCAGGAGGCCCATCCACGCCCAACGCCGAGCCCCTGGGCTGGGCGGCTCCGCCTGAAGCGGCCGGGAGGGGCGTGGATGCAGCCAGAGAGAGGCCAGATCCCCCGGGGACAGACCCCAAGGCCCGCTGCGGGACTAGACCTGGCAGGGCTCCACAATTTGGCATTTGGGAGGTGCCTCAGGGGCAGGAGTTGCTATCCGTGGGAAAGGTCAGGATTACCCTGTCGCTGGACCCCTGCCTGCTGCGGAGACGGAGACGGAGGAGGAGGAGGGGAGGGGAAGGGAAGGGAAGGAGGAGGAGGAGGAGGACTAGGAAGGCGGCTCCCAGAGTCCCCCCCCCCGAAGGATGTCGGGGATGGGGAATCTGGGCCAGGGGTGAGAGGCCGAACAGCGGGGACACGCAGGTGAGCCTGGCTGTAGACCCGGCACTTGAGCTAAGGGTCTGGGGAGGGAGGGTCCCGAGGATGCTGCATCGGCCCCCAGCTTCTGGATTTCCATGGGCGGCAGGGACCAGAACAGGGTCCTGCCTCAGAAGGACCTCGGGGACGCTTGAGGCGGCAGCCTGCTCCCTGGGGGTGTCGCGGTCCAGCAGGTACGACCCGCACGCGGTAGCAGGAGGGGGGGACGGGGATGGGGAGCAGCGCCCTGCGGGGAGGCCAGCGAGGTCGTGGGGGCGGCGCGCTCACCTCCCACACAGCACGACCACGAGCCCCGGGACCAGCAGTGTTCCCAGCAAGACCAGCGCGGTCAACAGCCAGCCGGGCGGCTGCGAGTCCTCCCCGAGGTCGCACACTACGGAAGAGGGTGGACGGGGCACGTCAGCAGGCCCCAGGGCTGGTGCTTGCACCCAGCCCTGAAGCCTTCCCCAGGGGCTCCCCGACAGGCAGCAGGCACTCGGGCGCGTCCAGGAGGGCATGGTGGCCCCCTGCACGGGGGGCCGGCCTCGGCGCCGCAACACCGAGGCCCCCGCCGCAGGCCCCACACCTCTTGCAGCTGAGCCCGGGTCCTAGACCGCGAGCATTCCCTGCAGCCTGGCCGGGAGGGGGAGTCCCTGACGCGCCGACCTGCAAAGACCTCAGGCTCCCCTCTGGGACCGCGGGGCCCTGTGGGAAGTGTGGGAGTTTTCTGGGGCTGCCACAACCAGGTCCCACAGACAGGGTGGCTGAGGCTGGGAGTCCGAAATCCTGGCGGGGCCGAGGCGGGTTCCTCCTAAGACCTCTCTCCTGGGCGTGTAGACCCTGTGTTCTCCCTGTGTCCTCACGGGGTCGTCCCTCTGTGCGTGTCTGTGTCCTCATCCCCTCTTCCTATAAGGACCCCAGTCCTATGGGATCAGAGCCCACACTACTGACCTCATTTTACCTTAACCACCTCTTTAAAGACCCCACCTCCAAATACAGTCTCATTCTGAGGTCCTGGGGCTGAGGACTTCAATAGGTGAATTTGGAGGGACACATCTGAGCCCACAACAGAGGGTCTTTGCAGATGGAATCAAGTAAACCTCAGGTCCCAGTGGAATAGGATGGGCCCTAATCCAATGACGAGTGTCCTTATAAAGAGGAAATTTGGACACAGAGAGACACAGAGGAGAAGCCACGTGAGGATGGAGGCAGAGATGGGAGGGACGTGGCCACAAGCCCAGGGAAGCCCGGAGCCCCAGAAGCTGGAAGAGGCAGGGAGGACCCTCCCCTGGAATCTCCATGGGGAGCACAGTCTTACTCCGCCTGGATCTCAGACTCTGGTCTCCAGAGCTAGAAGAGCATGGATTCCTGTGGGGTTTTAAGCCCCCTCCCCAACAACGTGTGGTCATTTATTGCAGTAGCCCCGTGACCAAGGTTTCCTATGCGCCACTGAAACAGGACGTTCTTGGGGGAGCCAAGGAGGAGGGTCTGGTTTCAGAACAGGTCAAGGAGAAATGGCAGCTCTTATTTGGGGGGAAATCCTTCTAATTAGGCCCAAGAGCCATGCCAGGGACCATGTTGGATAAAAGAGGAAGTCGTGTGCCTGCTCACAACAAGCCATGGGGGTTCTAACTGGGGGTCTTGTTCCTCCCCCTCGCTGCCCCCCCATGGGGTGAGCACAAGGCGCAGGGTCAGCTGTTGTCTTCAGAGACACAGACACGTCTTTGGGGACACAGAAGCACGTGGAGCTCGATCCTGGCTCCTTTGGCGGCAGAGCAGCCAAGAGCAGGGATGAAGAGCCCGTCTGAGCGTGCGAGGGGTCTGTGCTTCCTTGACCAGGGCTGGTGCCCCCCAGCGTCCAGCGCACCCGAGGGAGAGGTGAAAGGGTGCCCCACTCACCAAAGTATTGGGGGACACTCCACTCGCTCCACGTGTTGCGGAAGAAACCTTTCACCTTTAGTCTCGCCATGTAGTTCCCGGGATTGTGAATCTGGAAGAAGTTTTCCTGGAGCTGAGGTTGAAAAGGAAAGAAGGAAAGGCTGTTCCCGGTTGGCAGGGAGACAACGGGGCCCTGTCGTGGGTGGAGTGGGTCCTCCCCCAAGCTCGTGCGTGAACGTTCTCGCCCCTCCTTTGGAAACAGGTTTGGAGGAGATGCAATCAGTTAAGGAGAAGGCCGCTGGGGTAGGGGGGCTGTAATCCATTACCACTGGTGTGGTTACGGAAAGGGGCAATTTGGCAACAGACACACACACACTGGGGGAAGACCGTGTGCATGATGGTCTCCCATCATGCCAAGGAGCCCCAGAAGCTGGGAGAAAAGCCTGGAGCCTCCAGAGGCAATGAGGTCCTGCCCCATCTGGATCTCGGACGTCCGGTCTCCCGGGCCCGGAGAGAAGAGAGCTGTGTTTTAAAACCCCCAGTCCGGGACACGGGTTATGGCAGGTGTCCCCCCACCAGGGGAGCTAACACAGGCCCCCCAAGAGAGCAAACCCGACCAGCCTTGATCACGGAAGATGCCTGCAGTTCAGAGGGGCCCAGATCCTGGAGCCCCCTACCTTTCTCAGCCCAGGCTCTTGGTGTCCAAATAAAAATGTTCTTCGTCAGCACTGGGAGGTAAAGAACCCGGGGACACCCTCAACGAGGCCGAGACTATGGTGACATGAGTGGGTGTTGTGCCCTGCATGGGGCCCTGCCAACTTATGAATGGTGACCTCCTCACCCCGCTCCCCAAGAAAGATACGTCCCCTCCCCCCGGAGGCTGTAGTCGGGACCTTCTTTGAAAGTAGGGTCTTTGCAGATGTGCTTACGTGAAGGATCTCAGGATGACCTCATCCTGGATCAGCGTAGCCCTACGTCCAATGACAAGAACCCTAACAAGGGACAGAAGTGGAGACAGACACAGAGGAGAAGCCACGTGAGGACAGAGCTTCATCTCTGAGCTGTTTCCCCTCAGCACAGACTCCTGGAGATTGCCGGATGGGTGAGCGGGGCCCCCACACAGAGTCGGGCACCGCGAAGTGGCTGGACAGTAAGAAAAACACATTTGTGATGCCCAGTTCGGGGACGGTGGGGGACACTCACCTTCTCTGTGTAGGCAGGATTGCGGCCCTACAAAACAAGAGTGGAAATTGGTGGGTGTCTGATGCCGTCCCCTGACGAAGGCCCTTGTTTGAGCCCTTTTAGGTTTATACAGAAACCGAGTACAAAATAATCAGGGATTGAGTCTAAACGATCAATATCATTATAAATAAATATGAGTATAAAGGAGAGATTAACTAAAAAATACCTGGTCTTTTCTTTTTTTAATAGAATTAATAACCTTTATCCTTCTAAGCAGTTTTAGGTTTACACAAACATTAAGTATAATCACTAGTTGAATATAAATAATAAATAAATATACAAAGAAGTAAAGAAACAATACATTTAAGTCAATAACTGAGTATGAAATACTAATTAGCTCAAAACATTTTGTCATTTTCTTTTATAGACTTATAATTCTTTTAAGTTTATTTATTCATAGTCTCTACACCCAACGTGGGGCTCAAACTCATGACCCCGAGATCCAGTCGCACGTTCCACCGACTGAGCTGGCCAGGCGCCCCCATACTTGATCATTTTTTTTTTTAAGAGTTTTTTTTATTTATTTGACAGAGCACAAGCAGAGGGAGAGAGAGGGAGAAGCAGGCTCCCTGCTGAGCAAGGAGCCTGATGCGGGACTCGATCCCAGGACCCTGGCATCATGACCTGGGCCGAAGGCAGCCGCTCAACCGACCGAGCCACCCAGGCGCCCCCATACTTGATCATTTTTTAAGATAACTTTATTCAGGCATAATTTCCTTGAGCAAACCACACATTGAAAGCACAGGATTTGGTGCGCTTTGAGAAATACTATGCACATAAAAGCAGCTCAGTGTTCCAGGTAAGGAACGACCCCGTCACCCCCGAATTTCCCTGTGCCCCTCTGTCATGCCTTCCTCCCTGCACACACCCAGAGCACACGTGTGTCACTCGCTGTAGATCATTCTGCATGTTCTATGCTTCTGTATATAAATGGGATCCTCTAGGGTGGACCTCGAGTCTGGCTCACCTTCACTGGGGGTTTGGACTCCACAGCGCGGATATGTTTTGTTCACCCCTTCTCTTGGGTTGTTCCCAAACTCAGCTGCTATGAACACGCAGGTCCGCACTTTGGTGGGCTTATGTTTTCGTTATTCTCAGAGCCAGACCCCGCATGGGAATGGCTGCCTCCACGAGATACTACCAAAGCCTCTTCCAAAGTGCCGGTGCCATTTTTTCTCAAAAGGATGTGATTTTATCCTGGCTCTTACAATACGGAGAATGTTCATCCATAAGGGACATCTCAGAGAAGAAGAAGCCACGTATATCATTTTAAATGGTCACCAGTTTGTGACAAGCAAGTGTTGTAATCAACTGGGTGACACCGTCACCCACCCTTGGTTTGGCCAGACTTTGTCGTTTTAGCCAATCTGAGGGGTGGGGAGAGTGGCCTCTCCCTGTGGTTTGCATTTCTGTGGCAACTTTTCATGTGTTTATGGGGCATGAATACATCTTTGGGGAAGTGGTTGTTTCAACTTATTGCCCTTTAGTTTTTTTTCATGTAGTTGTTTGTCTTCTTGGTATTGACTTGGAAGCCTTTCTTATCCATCCCAAACATGAGTCCTTTGACAGACAAATACGCACCTGGCTTCTTCCATCTGTGATGTGCATTTTCAATTTTACCTCTGTATTTTGAATAGCCAACATTGTTTCTTTTGTTAAAGCTAAATTTTTTTTAGGGTGTGTATATTTTCTTTTGATGATTTTCACACATACAAAAGCTTACATGATCTTTAATTTTTTTCAGTTTGTGTGTGTGTGTGTTAACATTCTTCATTTTTATGTAGGGTTTATGTTTTTTTTTTATTTAAAATTTACTTCAGTTTTATTTTTATTTATTTTTTTACTTTATTTTTATTTGTGTTTATTTTTAAAAGACTAAAAACTTTTTTTTTTGATTCATATTTTTTTGTGTGTATGTTTTATCTGCCTCCAAAGCTTTGGGGTACAGATTCTAGAGAATCTAGACTTGCCAGCTACAACAAGCATTTACCTTTTGTATTTGAAGTTCATACTCAAATCTGAGATTGACGTGGCTTAACACTTTCCATTCCATCATCGAATATGATTTGTTACACGTTGCAGTGATATTGGGTGAACTTAATCTCTCTAGGACAGGGGAAAAAAAAAACAAAAAACAAAGAGACTTTTATGAGTAAAACAAATCAACATCCCCCCAGCCCACTCCCAGAAGATACTTTGAAAACAGGCTTCATAGAAATTTAGGGTGATGGGAAGGAGAGGAAAAGGTCCTTCCAAGGTTAAAGAATGGGCAAAATATCAGTATAGATGCATGACAAAATATGTTGAGATATCTATCCACTTGAATTAGCCTTAGGTCTAGCTGCTCAGACAGGAGCCTGTGAGAGACCCCCGCCCACCCTGGGACCCTTCTGGAAAGCGCTCTTCAGGTCTGTGCCTTGGACGTCCCCAGGTCTACACCTGATTTTTCCCCTTTGGCCGTAATTCCACTGTTCTTTGGCAGAGGGAGGAAAGCCTGTTGCACGCGTGGACTCCCTCCTTCCTTCAGGCCTGTGTGAGCCTGGCCCGCTCCCCACCCTGCGCAGGGTCAGTCCCATTTCCAAAGCCCTTGGCCGGCCAACTGCACTCCCAGAAACATCTGTCCCTCCTCGTGTTCCCCAGACCCCGCGTGCTGTAGCCAGGTCCTCCCCGGGCGTCCTGCCCTGCCTTCTGGCTGCTGAGACCCTCCTGGCCGTCCCTGTTCGGGTGCTCTGCCCTCTGCCCTCCTTCTGGGCATTCAGCGTCCCCTGACTCCATGGTTTCGCCAAGCTTCCTACGTGACCACGTCTGAAACTACACCCCAGGTCCGACCTCCACTGGGAGCCCAGCCCTGGGTCCTCACCTGCCTGCAGTGCTGTTCCACCTGGATCCCTGGCTGAAAGCTCACTACAGGGCAGTCCCCAGCTCTGGGTCTCCTCCCCCCCCCAACCCACCTGCTCTTCCTCTCTGCTGGCCCTCTTCTTCCTCCCCCTCCCTTCCCCCATCTATGACGTCACCCTGCCCCCAGGCTCCCTCAGTCGTGCCTCTACCACAGGAGGATGCACAGAATCCATCCGCAAAATAGTCTCGAAACCAGCTCCCCTCCCTCCTCCCTGCAGCCAACCAGGCCCTGCCCATCTGTGGCCACCTTACTGTGGGACACACCCACCCCCACCCCACCAATGGACTTGTCCCCTCAGAAGCAGGAGACAGGGCATGACGCCTGCTTCGGAGGATGCGCCCATTGGCAGGGCCAGGAGAGTGAGGCCAGGAAGGCAGGGGCACCCCAAAGGGCAGGTGGGTCAGTCCTGCTGGGGAACAACCCTGGAGACAGCCCAGAACCCGCCTGCTAGGAGCCACCCAGCCCAGGTGAGGGAGCAGGGTTACCCACCAGCCCCTCCGACTTTGGGCAGAGTGCTAACGTCCTGCCTGCCTGTGGGCTGAAAGGCTCCGGTCGCAATATGACACACACAGGCAGGGTCCCCTTGTAGACCTATGGCTCCTTGTGGGAGGAAGGGCCAGGGTCAGGGTGAGATGTGAGTCACTTTCTACAGAGCTCTGCAGGGAGGGGAATGGTCACCCCCAAATGGTACATCCATGTCAAATCGCTAAAACCTGTGAAGGGGATCTTGTTTAAAAACAGGGTCTTTGCAGGTATAATAAGGGAAGGATCTTGAGATGATGTCCTTCTAGATCATGGTGGCCCTAAATCCAATGACAGGTGTCCTTACAAGAGACAGAAGAGGAGACACAGATATAGGAGAAGCCACGTGACGACGGAGGCAGAGGTGGGAGGGACACGGCCACCAGCCCAGGGACACCTGGAGCCCCAGAAGCTGGAAGAGGCAGGAAGGACCCTCCCCTGGAGCCTCTGGAGGGAGCACAGCCCTGCCCCACCTGGATCTCAGTGGCCCTGCCCCACCTGGATCTCCAGAGCTGGGGGATAAATTCCTGTGCCTTAAGCCTCACAGTTTGGGATCATTTATGAAGATACCAACTGGGAAATGATAAAGCACCACGGCCCGCTTCTCTTGGTGTCAACGAGCAACATCCGGGACACTATTCAGCAGCCACCCCTGCAAGCCTGAACCTGGCCCATCCCAGCACAGAGCTGTGTGTGACTGATGTCCTTGCACATGGCCCCAGGCTTGGGTCCATGCTCTCCTGGCGCCATGTTGAAATTGCTAGTAACGTTATTGTATTCATCTCCCAGGGCTGCCTGGTACGCCACCAACAGGTGTGTTGGACCATAGAAATATGTCTTCTCACAGTTCTGGAGACCAGAAATCTGAAATCCAAGTGTCCACGGGGCTGGTTCCTTCTGGAAGCTCAGAGGGAGAATCTGTTTCAGGCCCCGTTCCCACTTCCGGTGACTCCTGGCGGTCCTTGGCGTTCCTGGGCTATAGACACATCACCCCTATGGCCTCCCATAGCCTTCCTGTCTGTCTTTGGGTTGGCCTCTGTGTGTCCTCCTTTTCTTGTAAGGGAACAGCCATATTGGATTAGGGCCTGTCTGTAACAAGTGCAAAGACCCTATTTCCACATAAGGTGGCATTCACAGCTGCCAAGATGTGGACAGATCTTTTGGGGGGACAACAGGCATTTTTGAATTTGTGTTCCTGGGGAATAATGGAGCATGCACTGGGGACACGGAGCCCCCAGTTCCCATTTGACCCCTCCATGCATTCCCTACCGGGCTATCACACAGCCACCACCCCACTGCACTAACCACTGTCTCCTCCCACCCCTGCTGGGAGCTGGGGTGAGGACACAGGGGTCCAGGTGGGAGCGTGCATTGAGTTGCAGGTGGTCTTGGACACGGTCTGGATGTACCAGTGAGGGCCCCATGTCTGAGGGAACAGCGTCCAACCAGTGCCAATAAAACACAGCATGGAGGGGCGCCTGGGTGGCTCAGTCGTTAAGCGTCTGCCTTCAGCTCAGGTCGTGATCCCAGAGTCCTGGGATCGAGCCCCGCATCGGGCTTCCTGCTCGGCGGGGAGTCTGCTTCTCCCTCTCCCACTCCCCCTGCTTGTGTTCCCACTCTCGCTGTGTCTCTCTCTGTCAAGTAAATAAATAAAAAACCTTAAAACAAAAAACACAGCATGGAGCTCAAGAGGTGGGAGGCCAGAGACAAAGGAAGAGTCCCCCTGCTTTTCAAGCAAGAGGCCTTGCCTTTTTCCCCTCTGCACCACATCTCAATTCACGTAGCCGGCCACATGCTTCCTTACCCCACGTGGACCCACCAGGGCAGGCCCAGGCTCCCAGAGGCTGAAACGTGTCACACTTTGGGGAGGGGTCCAGTTAAAGAAAATGGATGGCGACATAGCTTTGTTACGATGGGGTTTGTGTTCCAGAAACCCACTGGCATATCAATGCAGGGCCTTGACAGGTGCTGTGGGCATGACTCTCACCCCTCCCCAAGACTTGTGATGGAGGCATGTGTCCCGTGTGTTCTAGGAATGTTCCAGAAGCAAGCAGGTTACTTCCTTAGGTGCAAGGAGCTCATAGCCACTGCTAGGAGATGAACACGTGTCATCCTCAAATGCACAAGCCCTGACCCCCAGTGGGATGGCATTCAGAGGTGAGCCTTCGGGAGGTAATTAGGGTTACCTGACATCATGAAGGTGGGGCCCCCCCATCATGATGGGACTCGGGTCCGTATAAGCAAAAGAGAACGGAGCTCTCTTTCTCTCCGTCGTTCCCCATGTGAAGTCACAGCGAGAGGCCTGCCAGGTGCAAGTCAGGAAGAGGGACCCTCACCAGGAGTCAGATCTGCGGGCCCCTTAAGGTCGGGCTTCCAGCCTCCAGAACCGTGAGAAATCATGTGTCATTTCAGCCGGCTACTTGGGATTATTTTTTACGGCCCCCTCAGCTCAGACACCAGCATCCCAGAGCCGAGGGTGCAGCCTGAGAGCCGTGTCCTTGACCTGTACTCACCAATTTCTGATAATTCGACAGAACGGTCCACGCAGGGGATGCTGGCGCCGTGGCTTGTGCCTCTCACCAGGATCTGGAGCTGTTTCGGGAATCTGGACACATCATTGAAATGACACCGGACGTGTTTCCCCCGATCATCCGTTTCGTAATGTGGACACTCCTGCTCCCTGTGGGTCCTTCGGCAAGGAGGGAGCACCCAGGAATGACCCAGCGGCCCCATGTGCCCGGGGAGAGCCCTGCTGTGCCATGGCCACACCTACCTCAGCTCCTGCCAGTATAAGCGATACTGGATGTCACTGGGGGCCTCCCTGCCCACCTCCCAGCTGCACGTCAGGAAGTCCACGTCGTGCACCCAGCAGTCCAGACGTTGTGCGGCCGCCCCAGGGTTTCCTTCTGCATTTGCAAAGGAGGTGAAAAGAAGAGCAAATCGCCTTTCACACACACAGTTACAGGGACAAATACAGAGCTATCCTGTGGAGGCTTGAACCAGTTTCCCGCAATGATAACCCCTGGAAAACACGGTTCTGTGGTATCTCCAGCCAGATGTCAACACCTATATGCTCAAGATACAGGACAGTCTCACCCCCCAAGGGCCCCCCAGATGGTCCTTTTCTTGCCTCACCCCCTTCCCTCCTGTCCATCCTCACCGCCCCCACCGCCGACCACTCATCTGTTATGCATTTGCACACCATCAACTCAAGTAGGTCCTACGAATGAAATCCTCCTGCATACGTGATGCCCTAGGGTTGTGTGCTTTTTTTTTTTCCCCACTCCCTGCAGGTCCACCCAAGCTAAAAGTCATGGTTTTTGTATTCCTATGACCAACCAATGACAGAAAGCAAACAAAACCCAAAGAGGAACACGTTCCCCTCACCTTGCAGAGGATACTGAATCCCCATCAAGAACGGTGGGCCTTTGGTCAAGGAGATAGTGAAGTTTTTCACTTCACATAAGGGAAGTACGTGGAATTGGCAGTAACGATTTTTGTCGATGGCCTGAGAGAGACAGAGAACCATTTATTCATTGTTGAAAGAACACACGTAGTGTCATGGTGATGATATTCGGATTTAACAACAGCAACAACAATAACAACACCAACAAAACCATAAGTCTCCAGGACTTGCTCTATAGATTCCATGCAATCTTCATCAAAACCCCAGCAATTTATTTTGTGGTGGTTGACAAACTGGAAATGGTGTATAAATTACTGGTTGGTGGAGAGGGAGGGAGATGTGAACAGGTGAGGAGCACAGGATTTTTTTTTTTTAGGGCAGTGACATTGTTCTGTATAAAACGTATCATTCTCTATTTGTTAAAAGTCATCAAATCACACACTAAGAGTGACCCTTCAATAAACTGTGCACTCTGGGTGAGGATGATGTGTCCAAGCACGTTCATCAGTGGTAACAACTGTGCCATCTGGTGGGGAGGCTCATAGCGGGGAGGCTGTGCCTGTGTGGAGGCAAGGGGTTGGGGGTTCTTTTTTTTTTTTTTTTTTAAAGATTTTACTTATTTATTTGAGAGAGAGAGAATGAGAGAGAGCATGAGAGGGAGGAGGGTCAGAGGGAGAAGCAGACTCCCTGCCGAGCAGGGAGCCCGACGTGGGACTCGATCCCGGGACTCCAGGATCATGACCTGAGCCAAAGGCAGTCGCTTAACCAACTGAGCCACCCAGGCGCCCGGGGTTGGGGGTTCTATACCTTCCTCTCAATTTTCCTGTGAACCTCACACTGCTCTGGAAAAAAAGTGAAGTTTATTAATTGTTTAAAACTGTACAAAAATTTCTATAAAATAGTTCCATTTATGAATAAATAAATAATTCCATTTATGAATAAATAGATGAATATTCCATTTAAGGAATTCCATTATTAATAAATCGACCCTTTTCTAAGGATCGAATGATAAATGAAATTGGCATGGAAAAGCTGGGAAAATGAGGAAATAAAAATAGAACGTCACATGGAACAAAAATGAAAGGAAAATATTTATCAAGCTCATGATGAATTCCAGCTTCATATCTGTATTATATAGTAAGTTAATATAAATAGAAAATGATGTGAGGCTCCGAATGGATTAATAAGCAGAAGGTTATTTTCTTAAGATTTTCTTTTTAAGTCATCTCTACACCCAACGTGGAGCTCAAACTCACGACCCCCTGACATCAAGAGTCGCACATTCTACCAACTGAGCCAGCCAGCGCCCTCAGTTGGTGGAAATTGTAATTAATAAATGAAGAAGGCCTCTATCTAGTTAATCATATTTGTAACAGATTCAACCAGACTAGTTGTTAAATACATATTAACACAACGCATCTGAAGCTCTGGGAAAATGTGCGCCTTTGTGCAGTTTTCGGCACTGATCTAAAACTTCCTTGGATAATTCAGGTGAGGCTCATAAACACAGTCACTGTCTCTTGTCCGAGGAACTCGGGTTCCATAAAGGCTTCTAAAAGGAAGTTCAGAACGGCAGAATGTGGGGTAGACGAGTGTTTTCCCAAACCTGCCATAGCTGTGCTGAGCGCTGCTTCTGAGCATTCTCTGGCAGCCCAAGGATGGAGGTCCTCATGTATGCAGATCATGAAAACAGGAGAGGGAGAGACTCCACCCACTGAGAAGGGGAGCCCGTCTCCATTGAGGACAAACACACCAAACACAATATTTACCCATTTGGCCAAGAGCATAACGTTCAAGTAGCATAGAGACATGGGAAAACTGGACAAAAGCGCAAAGACCGTTAATAAAACAGAAATGAATTCAATTTAGGGAAAACCAACAGTGGATGAGGGAATGACAACAGGGTCCAGTATCTTGAAACAGTCCTCAGCAATTCCTTCTACATCTTTGGTACTGAGAAAAATATCTAGATCTCTCCTACATGCAATTTACGTGCACGGACGTTGTGAAGTAGGAATCCAACTTAATTTTAGTGCATTTTGGAAATTGTGCTGACTTCATGCATACAACACTCTATCTCTTCTATATCGACTTGAAATATCATCTTAGTTAAAATCCACCCTACCCCCACCTGCCGCCAATGCATGCTTCTGCTTCCAGATTGTTCCATTTCTTTAATCTATCCATGCATTCTGTCAATCTGATACTTTGGATAATCATAGCTTCTCAGCACATTTGGAGACATCATGGAAAGGCAAATTCCTGATCACTAGTGTTCTTTATCAACATTTCTTGGTTCTTCTGTAGCCTGCGTTGTTCCAGAGAGAGTTTAGAGTCAACTGGCCAAGCTCCAATGAAATCCCACCGAGCCTTGTCATGAACTGAATTGTGTCCCCCAAAATTCATGATGAAGCCCTCACCCCAAGACCTCAGAAAGTGGTTGTATTTAGACATCGGGTCTTTAAAGAGGGGATTAAGGTAAAATGGGGTCAGTAGGGTGGGCCCTGATCCCATAGGACTGGGGTCCTTATAAGAAGAGGGGGATGAGGACACAGACATGCACAGAGAGATGACCACATGAGGACAGAGAATGAACATAGTGTGTCTACATGCCCAGGAGAGAGGTCTCAGGAGGAACCAGCCTCAGCCCCACTTGGATCTCAGACTCCCAGCTTCAGGCCCACTTGGATCTCAGACTCCCAGCCTCCAGGACTGGGAGGAATAAATGTGTGTTGTATGAGCCCCTTCCTCTAGGGTATTTGTTATGGGGGCCCAGGTTGTGACTTATATTGTGTTAAATCAGGAATAATCTCAAGACAGCAAATTTATTCTCAAGGAAGTTGATAGGTGCCTCTTCCTCATGAGACTCTATGAGCTGTGAATGTATTGTATTCTCACCATAGCCCACCCATGGGATCTGTCACAGTTCTCAAGACCCCTGAACCTCAGAAGATGACACAGTACCGGATTTGGGTGAGAGGCGGGAAATGGCGGGAAAGCAAGCACTCACTTTCAGCTGGGTTTTGCTCCCTACCTGCAATCCCTGAACACATTTTCTCACCAACGCTCTCCAGGGACACCATCTTGGACATCCTACAGGTGGCGAACCCTGAGCTGTGGTGCCGGAAATAGACTCTCACCCCACATTCCATACCCAAGCCCAGAGCAGAACCCCCACCTCTGTGATGTCTGAGTCGGACTTGGCCCTAGGTTTCTGCTAGCTCTTAAGTTCCCGAAAGTCACGGAAGCTCCAGTGTGCCAAGTACAGGGAAGATGGTTTACCTTAGTGATAAGTTTTGAATTTATGAAACACAGAATTTCAGGAACATTTCCATGGAGGTCCCAGGTCAATCTCCTTTCTCCCGGCTCCATCCTTAGGTTCTTAATCGGTAAATTGGGATCTGAAATGTTTAGAGGTCAGAGTTAGAAGAAATACTGCGGTTGTTTGAACCCTTACCGCCATGGGAACTTCCTCCCACCGAGTTCACCTACAACCTCGGAAAGCAGAATTCTACACAGACAAGGCATTGCCGGGACCTGGCCGAGGCCATCAATCAACAGCGCCTTATTCCTCTCATTAGCCTGCCCTCCCAGTGATGGAGGAAAAAAGCCCCAAGAGTTGGGTAAAGCTGGTCACTTTCTGCCATCCCCATTTATCTTAAATGTATCTTTTGTGACCATGTTACTTTCCCTGAGAACTGAGAACAAATTCTGGCTTACATACGTCTCTCAAGGTCAACGATTCTGAGGACTAGTGGTTACCAGTGGCCATCGAAGATGCATTTCTTTCTTTCTTCTTCTTTTTTTTTTTTTTTTTGTTCTACTTTGAAAATATAAGGCATGGTCATTAGAATGATATTCATGACCTTCCACGGTTCACAGGCTGTTGGAGCAATTCTGACATTGCTGGAAAAACTCCGTGAGCACATACATCTGATTATGTTTTGAAATGGAATCAAAGCTCACGCATTCCTGCAACAGGGTCCCTGGGAAAGGGAGTCTCTAGTGGCAGACCACAGAGCTCAACATATCTGATCAAAGACTTGCTTGTGCATGTCCAAGGTGCTACTGAGTCATGTTTTGCCAGTAAGTCTGTAAAGCTACAACAAATACTTGGTGAGATTTTATTTGTGACTCCTTTCAAGGACTTACAGGATATGACTTTCATAAATGTTCACAGAATTTATAAACTGTAAGTGTCGTGATTAGTTATCAAGATCAACAGCCTTAGTTTCATAAGCAAGACCAAACCATATCAACACCTTGGTTTCTGCCATTATTTTCTTCTGACATATAAGGACAATTTATTCCTTCATAATAATAAAAAAAAATCATTTGGAGAAATATCTTTTAAATTGAAAATGTAATTCTTGATAGATTCCTTTTTAATTTAAATTCAATTAACCAACATACAGTACATCATTAGTTTCAGATGTAGTGTTCAATAATTTATCAGTTGTGTATAACACCCTCTTAAGAGAGTCTTATGCTTCAGGGGCACCTGGGTGGCTCAGTCATTAAGCATCTGCCTTCGGCTCAGGTCATGATCCTGGGACTCTGGGATCGAGCCCCAAGTCAGGCTCGCTGCTCCACGGGAAGCCTGCTTCTCCCTCTCCCACTCCCCCTGCTTGTGCTCCCTCTCTTGCTGTGTCTCTCTGTCAAATAAATAAATTAAATTAAATTAAATTTAATTTAATTTAATCTTAAAAAAATAGAGTCTTATGCTTCAAAATTTGCACTCAGTCCTGCCAACACATTAAATATCATTAAAACAGATATGAAGGATGAAGTAGTAAATATTAATGTTAGTATACTTTATCATATTTTAGTTTATTTTTATAAATAATATAAATGTATGTAAATTAACAGATATTTAAGGAAGAAATAGTATCATGTGCACAAAAGTTCAAAAAAGAAAGGGGGGCTGATGGGAAATATTTTCTGATTCATTTTAGGAGGCCAGCATTATCCCAATATCAAAATAAAAGATATTAAAAGTAAACTCAAGGCCAACACCCCTTATAAACATAGACACAAATCCCTTCAGAAAATATTAGTAAAAAAAACCCAGGAATACATAAACCTGGTAACACCTTATGAGATTTACTCTGGGAATGCAAGTTTTCTTTAACCATCAATATAATTCATCCCCATTAACCAGAAACTAATGATCTTCTCCATAGAAGCAGAAAAAAAAAATCGACCCAACTTAACAACCATTTGAGATTAAGAAATCTCAGCAAACTAAGAATGGAACAAATCTTCCTTACCCTGATAAATCTATGAAAATCTTTGAGCTAATTCAGACTCAATGGTGAAAGACTAACCACTTCTCCTTAAGACCAGAACAAGGCAAGGCGTCTGGTTTCAATACTTCTAATCCACCTAGTACTGTACCAATGGCCCCTCTTAATGCAATTTGGCCAACGTTGAAGCTTTAGGGGGCTTCCAGCTTAGGAGGGAAGATGTGAAAATTTTATTGCGTCAGCTGCCTCCTTCAGCCTTTGGTTCCTAGAAAGCATTTCACTTCCTACCTGTGGTCAGCGATCCTAGAGTACCCTCAGGCCTGAAGTGACCGCAAAGGCGGCAGCAGACTCTGCCCCAGGACAAGACAGGCAAATCAAAGATAATGCTCACACCTGGGGGTGTCAGGCTGAGAGGGGAAGCCCCTTCCCTTCCCAGACATCCCACATCTCCCAGCCCCTTGGGCATGGGGTGTGGCCATGTGACTGGGTTCTAGTCCACAAAATTCGACAGGAGACATGATGGTACTTCCAGTTCTCACCCATAAATGCTCCTGGAGATGCTGAAGGACCCTGGATCTTGGAGTAAATATCTGGGGCAAAACCACCTGTTCTGAGTCACACTGTGTCTCCTCAAAATTCGTGTTGGAGTCCCAACTTGCAGGACCTCACAATCGGACCTTATTTGGAAATGGGGTCATTGCAGGTATTAATTAATTAAGATGGGGTTGTTCTTGAATAGTGCAGAAACTAACACAATGTTACTGGTGTCCTTATTAAGAGGGGACATTTGGACACGAACAGACACAGAGGAGAAGCCACATGAAGACGGAGGCAGAGATGGGAGGGATGCGGCCACAGGCCCAGGGACACCTTGAGCCCCAGAAGCTGGAAGAGGCAAGAAGGACCCTCCCCTGGAGCCTCTGGAGGGAGCATGGCCTTGCCCCACCTGGATCTCAGTGGTCCTGCCCCACCTGGATCTCAGCAGCCCTGCCCCGTCTAAATCTCAGACTTCTGGTCTCCAGAGCTGGGAGACATAAATTAAGCCCCCCAGGCCATGGTATTTTATGCTGGCTGCCCGCGCAGACTCAAATAGCAGCCTTCAGAAGAATAATCCCTGGGCGCCTGGGTGGCTCAGTTGGTTAAGCGACTGCCTTCGGCTCAGGTCATGATCCTGGAGTCCCGGGATCGAGTCCCGCATCGGGCTCCCTGCTCGGCAGGGAGTCTGCTTCTCCCTCTGACCCTCCTCCCTCTCATGCTCTCTGTCTCTCATTCTCTCTCTCGCAAATAAATAAATAAAATCTTTAAAAAAAAAAAAGAATCCCTTCCTCTCTGTCCCCCACAAAACATCTGAATTCCACCCCTATTTGAGGAAGGAATAAATGTCTAATGGGTTATGAAATCTTATGGCTGTCACCACAGCTAACATCTTCTGACGCAACCGAGGTGGGTACGCTCCTGGACTCCTGGAGAACCTATCGTGCCTGGGGCCCCGAGCTCGGCCCACGTCTGTGTGCCTGGGAACCCGGCGTGGAAAACATGCAGATGGCCTCTGTCTCAGGTCCGCCCCTTACTTGGAAAATTCCTGATGGCGACTGGGTTCCATGCGGACACTCCTGCAGGTCAGTGTGAACCTTCAGAGACATTAGCAGCCCCGTCTTCCTCGTGGCCTTGGGCTCACTCAGGGCCCGCACCCAGGCTAAGTCAACGCTCTGTGCTCTGTACTGGGCTTCACTGGCTTCCAACTGGCTCCCTGGGACATTTCCTGCTGCATGCCCGTCAGCCGCCCCTGTGCCCTGAGTCTGACCAGACTGACAGTCAGAAGTGGGCACAGATGGCTCGGGGATTGTAATCAGCATCTTCTCATCTCATTACTTCTGGTTACTATGGAGTCTCATTATCCTTCATTGAATGATGTCATTATTCCCCATCATCATGATGCAATATCGTATGAGCCACATGGAAGGCAAGGAGACCGTACTTTGCCACACATGGCCTTCTCCTCAGGCACATGTCTGTGGCTACACGCTCCCTTCCTATAAGGATGCCTGTCCTGTTACATTAGGACCACACCCTGATGGCCTTATCTCCGCTTAATTCCATCAGGAAGGACTCCATCTCCAAACATGGTCACATTCATAGGTTCTGGGGGTGAGGGCTTCCAGGGAGGACCTTGGTGGGGACACAGGTCAGCCCATAACCAATGCCGTTCCCATGACCCTACCCAGAAAGGGGAGACACAGGTGAAACCCCATTTCGCACTGGAATAATGATTCAGGACCAGGGTAGGTGATGCATCCTTGCATTCGAGCTACATTGAAATGCTCAGCCCCTTGACCCGATCACAGTCGGTATCCTGGCTATGAGATTGTACCATGACAGCATTGCAAGGCGATCCCATTGGCGGGATAGGGGCGAGGGGCACATGGGCAGTCTCTGCATCAGCTCTTACAGCTGCCAATGCATCTATAATGATCTTGACATGGAGTTTAACTGAACGACAAAATGCCTGACACAGCCACAGACCACAGTTGGGTTTTCGTCCTACCTTCCTCCGATTGCAGCAGACCGGAGACAGACGTCAGAAACACCGTGAGCCACACCAAGGCCATAGCGACGTGGCTCCCACGGCAGGGAGGTCGTGTGCTGGAAGAGAAGGCACAGTTAGAGTGTGGGATGGGGGAGGATGAACTTAGGGAAGCTACTGCTCACGAGCCTGGAGCTCCTTCCAGGAGGGAAGGCTCTGGGTATGTGCATGTGTGTGGGCGTGTGTGCATTCGCGTACATTCATGTGCATGTGTGCACATTCGTATACACATATGTACATGTGTGTGCATTTGCATATACCCATGTCCATTCGCGTACATCCATGTGCATGTGCGCACATTCGTATACACATATGTACATGTGTGTGCATTTGCATATACCCATGTCCATTTGCGTGCATTTGCGTACATCCATGTGCATGTGCGCACATTCGTATACACATATGTACATGTGCATACATTTGCATATACCCATGTCCATTCGCGTACATCCATGTGCATGTGCGCACATTCGTATACACATATGTACATGTGCGTGCATTTGCATATACCCATGTCCATTCGCGTACATCCATGTGCATGTGCGCACATTCGTATACACATATGTACATGTGTGTGCATTTGCATATACCCATGTCCATTTGCGTGCATTCACGTACATCCATGTGCATGTGCACACATTCGTATACACATATGTACATGTGCGTGCATTTGCATATACCCATGTCCATTCGCGTACATTTGCGTACATCCATGTGCACGCGTGCACATTCGTGTACCCATGTGTATATGTGTGTGCCTTTGCGTAAACCCATGTCCATTTGTGTGCATTTGCGTACACCCATGTGCATGTGCATGCATTCGTGTACACCCGTGTGTGGGCATTCGTGAACACCCACGTCCATGTGCTTGCATTCACGCACACACGTGTGCATGTGTGTATGCATGCATATGTGTGCACACACGTGCATGTCTGGGTGTGCATGCGTGCGCCTATGCACGTCCTGTGTGTGTGTGTGTGCATGTGTGGACATCCCTGTGTGTATGTCAACCTGCCTTTAAAGACTTGCACCCTGGGTTCTGAGCATGCTCTTGGCTCCAGCCTCAGGCAGAAACCAGGAAAGCACACTCAACGCATGGTACCGGGAAACACTGCCATGACAAAGCACTGGAAGGAAGTGTCATTAAAAATGGGAAGTCAACACAGATCGAATTTCCTGAATGGGCACAGTTACGGTAACTGAACCCTGCATGGTCCCAACGCCCTGGTCAGGACCTTCCCAGCGTCCCCAGGAAGCCTCCCTCCTTGGGCTGGCTCTTTGGGATCTTCACCTGGGTGGCCAGGCTCCTGCCTCCACTGGGACCATCAGCAACAGGGTCTCCTGATGGGCCCCCATTCCTCCCCACCATATCATCGTTGGCAAACACCATTAGTGGCCTGGGGCTGGGCCTCTGTGCCCCTCAGAATTGCCCGCAAAACGTGCCCCCTGCACACCATTCCATCTGGAAAATCTCAGCCAGGATCAAGGAGCTGGGGCCTCAGACTCGCCTGGTCTTGTCCCAGGCATTCACAGCCCCCATCACAGGACCCAACATGGACCCCACCGGGGGTCTCATCTGCTCCCCTGAGCATGCGGCTGCAGACGGTCGGACAGGGTGGGTGCCGATGTGGCCATGAATGTCCGGGGGTCTGGAGCCCCCATTCGGATGGAGTCCACGGCCAGCCCAGAGGAGGGGTCGGGGGTGTGCGTCCTAGAGTGAGGCAAGGGCCGCCTGAAACAAGGTCCTTGGCGTTCCCATCTGGCATCATCACCTATAGGATCTTGCTCTTCATGGGACCCTCTCGGGGAGTCCTGGGGTGACACCCAGGCATCCGCGTTTTTAAAAATGTATCTATTTTTCCAAAAAGATTTTATTTATTTATTTGACAGAGAGACAGCGAGAGAGGGAACACAAGCAGGGGGAGTGGGAGAGGGAGAAGCAAGCTCCCCGTGGAGCAGGGAGCCCGATGCGGGGCTCGATCCCAGGACCCTGGGATCATGACCTGAGCCGAAGGCAGACGCTTAACCACTGAGCCACCCATGCGCCCCTAAAAATGTATCTATTAATTAATTTTTTATTGAGGTGAAATGCACATCCCATAAAAGTCAGCCTTTTAGAATGCAACTCAGGGGTACCTGGCTGGCTCAGTCGGTGAGGCATCTGCCCTCAGCTTAGGTCATGATCTCAGGGTCCTGGGATACAGTCCTGAGTTGGGGCTCCCTGCTCAGCGAGAAGCCTGATTCTCCCTCTGCCCCCCACCCGCTCACGCTCGCTCTCTCTGTCTTCTCTGTTCTGTGAAATAAATAAAATCTTTTTAAAAATGTAACTCCGGGGGCATCTGGTGCCTTCTCCACCTCTCTCTGGCTCCAGAACATTCCATGCAGCTAAAAGAAACCCTGTGGGCACAAGCTCTCAGTCCCCGTCCCCTGCCCAGCGCTGGCAGCCACTGACCCACTTTCTGTCCATGCATTTCCCTGTTTTGCACATTTTTCAGTCCGTGGGATCACGCATGGTGGGGCCTCGTGCGTCTGCTTCTCTCGCGGTGCATCGTGTCCTGGAGCTCCGTCTGCGGGCGTCAGGTGTCAGACCTCCGTTCCTTCTCGGGGCTGAGTCCTGTTCCCCTGCGTGGATGGAGCACGTTTCGTGCACATGTGGGCCGTTTGCATAATGCACCTGCAAGGGATCTGTGCTTCCTGATCGGTCCGAGCCCCCAGCCCCAGCAGCTCCCCGGCAGGCTGTGCTGGACGTCGGGAACGAGCCGCCGTGCCCACCTCGTACGCAGCCTTCCGTGGACCCCACAGCACTGCAGCCCCATGTGTGTGCTTATGCTTTTCCAAGAACCACGTCAAGGAACAGGACAGCGTGCTGGAACTCCATCTTCATCCCCTACTCTGTGCAGCTCAGCACGCCCGGCCGGTCAGCATGCAAGCATGGCCGTCACCCCCGTCCAGGGTGGATACTCGCGCCGTCCCCTGCATCCTTAGATGCTGTAACCCTTTCGGATCCCGGGTGCCGTGCCCAAGGGAGATGCACCGTGGCTGGAACGAGCCCCATCCCAATGCCCCTCGTCCCTCCCGGGGGTCGGGGGTCTTACCTGGGCGGCGGCGAAGGTCCCCCGTGGGAAAGACAGCTGGCCTGGGGAGGGGGGTAGAATCCAGACCCCAGACTCCTCTCTGTGGGTCCTCCTCCCAAATGTGCTGGAGGAAATGTCCCCAAAGAGAAACTGAAGCTGGCTCTCCCTTCTCAGCGTTTTTATGGTCATGACCAGGGGCCCCACCCTTAAAACCCGGACCCAATGGGGCTCCAGGTGGGCGGGGTGGGGTGGGGAGGAGGTCAGTGACCGGGTCGAGAACCCCGTCCCCGTGTCTGTGTGTGTCTCTTCCCTCGAAGCCAGGGTCAGCGACTGTGTACTTTCCCTGGAATGAGTCCCCTTTCTTTCAAAACTGTTATTTTCCTGTTCTCGTTTCTCTTTGCGTGTTCCTCTTTGTTACAATCCTAATTACTGCTCACCATGCAGGGCCGGCTTGGGCAACTTCCTGGCATCGGGGAGTATATGCCACATATACCAGTGGCTGGGTGGAGGGTTCCTGTGCTGTCTTCCCGCCAGGTCCCCGGGAAACGCTCTCCCGTCTGTGCCCCCGGAGACAGTCCCTGGTTAGGACCCTAGGTCCCCGGAGAGGACGCCGCCCAGGGCCAAATGCAGCCCTTCAGGTGGCAAGCGGCCTCCAGCTTTATTTCTAGCAGCAGTGGCCCTGTGCTCAGCCCCTGCTGGACAGACCCCATTCAGGGACAGGGGCTGACCGCTAGTCTTCACCCCGCTCACGCCTGTGAGAACACACCAGCTCCTCAGCGGCTCCGGAGCTCTGATCCACCGGCACAGAAAAGGGTCTTTGCAGACCTAAGCGAGTCTAGGATCTGAGATGAGCTCATGCTGCAGTAGGGTGGCCCTCAATGCAATGACAGCTGTGCGTCTAGGACACACGGAGACACAGAGGGGAAACGACGTGACAGAGGGGACCGACTGGCTCGTGCGTGGCAGTGAGTCCAGAACGGGCTTCCCCCACGGCACGGCCACACAGAGGAGAAGGCAGCCACTACCACCCCGCTGAGCCCCAGGCTGGACCCCTTTCCGGGGCAGCGTGCATCCAAATGCCCTGGGCACGGAGCTCAGATGCAAAAGTCTGGGTGGGGTATTTGAGGCCAGGTCCTGAAGATGCCCCAGGCAGCAGGTGCCCGGCTGCAGGTGTCTAACACACGGAGGGGAGGTAGGGGAGAGGCCCAGGGCCAGCGGCACAGAGCGGCCAGTGAAGGACAGGGCTGGGACGAGGGGACGGTCAGGGTCCGTGGGAACCTGGGAGTGTCGTGGGATGAAGCGCTCTCCTTGGGCAGAAGTGGAAGCTGCCGAGGATTATTAAGGAGGCAAAGCTGACGTCAGGAGTTTGCACCCTGGGTCACAACGCACCGACCTCCTTGCGGCTCAGGACTCTGCTAAGGACGGTGTGGCCAGAACCAGGGAAGGACTCAGATCCACCTGCTGGGCCGGACATTGACTCCCCGACCCGGAGAGGGGCTTTGGGTCTGTTTCTCTGTTTGCTCCTTCCTCCCTCCCGCCCTCCCCACTGCCGGCTGCCAGGCTAGCGTCAGCCGTAACCCCGGACAAAACTGCAGGTTTAGTCTCTGGAGGGTCCCTGGACCGGGGATCCTGGCAGGGCTGAGGATGGTGGCCCCCTCCAGACACCAGCCCCGAAGGCATCTGTCCATGCAAACACGAGACCTCTTTCCTCTAGAACGTCTTTAACTTCGCTTGGGGAACCCCGCTCGCTCCCCACCTGCTTGCTCCATGCTTCCCAAAGTCCCCATGCTGGTATATGGCCAGACAACCAAAGACTTCCAGATTTCAGAAAGTGGAAAAGCAGGACCAAGCAAGCAATGGGGGTCTGGAGTGGGGGTGGTGAGAGCTTCCGTCGTGAACAGAGAGTGCAGCCCTGCAAGGACAGGGAGTGCACCTGGGGGAACAGAGGAACAGAAGACAGGAAGCGGGAAGGGAAAGTGGGTGAGGTGGGAGGCCCAGCTGCATGGTGGGGCAGACCCCGAGTAGAGCCTCTCCACCCAGCAAGGTGCACCTGCGCACGGAGCCCTTTGGGGACACACCAGGATCGCTTGAGGATGTGGTCAGCTGTGGGAGGAGGACAGGGCTCATAAGAAACCCTTGGGCACACTGGCCCGGGGATGGCAAATGACAGCTTTAGCCTCATGGCTGTTGGGGGAAGGTGGGTCCTCAGAGGTGGTCAGATGGGCACCTCTGAGGGGCCCACGGAGGTGGCAGGGGCCCCGACATTATATTATGTTATACGATATCTTATTATGTTATATATTATTGTGTTATATATTACTGTATTATATATTATTATATTATATATTATTATGTTGTATTATATATTATTGTATTATGTTAAAATGTATTCTATAAAACACAAACTATGTATTACGTATAGTACATTATTATAACACACGCACACTCATGTATTCTATCCACTATGTTAATATCCACTATATTAATGCTGAGATTAATTAGTATCTATTAATTATTATACAAACACTTTATTTTCTTAATATTTTTATTAATTAATATGAATGTACCGGAGTACTCACGCATATTAATGTTTTCAATATGCTTATGTAGGAGGAAATGATTTGTCTTTCTGTCTGGATGTGCTGCGACCACGTACGCGTTTCCAGTGGGGCAGGGGGACTGGAAGGAGTAACGTGATCTGAGCCGTCACCCGTGGCCCCGCATCATGGACTCTTCTGCGTCCACCTGTTCCATCAGGGGGCGGAAAGTGAGGCCCCCCCTCCCCACACAACCCAGACCCTGTTCACACGGACTCGCCCCTGGTATTCCGAAGCATTTCTGGGGCCTCTTTCTTGGGAAGACCAGAGGCATTTTATCCAGTCTTCCCTGCACATTACCTACGGACGATGCCTCCTTTCTCTGCAACGCCTGCCTCCCAGTTAAGAAGTCCCGTGATTTTGGGGGTCGACAGCCTGGTCTGAGCAGGACCGTCATGAAGGCAGGTCCAGGATGGGAGGGGGCACCTTGAGGGCCTCTTAGGGAGGGAGGACTCGGTCTGGGGGGTCTCAGACTCCTGGCCGCCGCACCCCCGCAATGCACCCTTCAATGTGACGGCGTGGATGATGGTCTGCGGCTCAGACAGAAGCAGGTGGGTCCTCCTGCACTGGGGTCTCCGAGCTGCAGGAGGACCCAGGACCCAGCATGTAGGAGTCCTTTACGTGCCCGGTGCAGGGGTCTGGGGAAGACCCACAGTCCTGCTCCTCTGAGAGCCCAGGGCAGGAGCCGAGGTGAAATGTGCATCCAACACACCTTGTCAGCTCTGAGGTCCTGCAGACACCCAGCCGCGTGCTCCCCTAGGCGTCCCCAGGGAGCTTCAGGGCCAGTTTCTGCTTGGAAGCTGGCCTTGTCCTAGGATCAGGTGGTTGCATGACCGCCCCCCGCCCCCTGTCCTCCTCTGTGCAGTTCCCCCGAGATGAAGGGATTCCCTGGTGAACTTTCCCGGCTAAAAACACAACCGCCGAACACTCTGCTCCTCCCCCTTCTGCTCTGAGATCACCAGGCTCTGGGACAACCTTGCCCACATCACTGAGGCTTGCCCTCCACTCTGTGCAGAAGCTCCCCCCACACGCTCCTTCTCCCCGAGATGCCTCGGATTGCACCCTTGCTGCTTCCGGGGGAAGCGGGCGTTTGCTTTTCACCGGCACGCTGTGTCGGGGAGATGCAAACCCCTTCTGCAATTTTTCTGCTCCCCAAATAAACTCTACTTTTTTTTTTAATTTACTTATAGTTTTTTTCTTTCAGAGGGTGGGGCAGAGGGAGAGAGAGAGCATCTCAAGCAGGCTCCACGAGTGTGAGCCAGACGCGGGGTTCACTGTTAGGACCCCGAGATCATGACTTGAGATGGAATCAAGAGTCGGATGCTTAACCAACTGAGCCACTCGGGGGCCCTGGGAAATAAACAGGTTCCGTTCCTGTGCTGAGCCGAATGGTGCCTGCCCAGGTTTATGTCCCTTGGAGCCTGGGAAGGGGGCCTTATTTGGAAATAGGGTCCTTGCTGATGGGATGAAGTGAAGGATCTGAGATGAGCTCATCCTGGGTCATCCAGGTGTCCCTAAATGCAATGACCGGAGTCCTTAGACAGAAGGGGAGACACACAGAGAGGAGAGGCCTCGTGAAGACAGAGGCAGAGACGGGAGGGACGCGGCCACCAACCCAGGGATTCCTGGAGCCCCGGAAGCTGGAAGAGGCAGGGAGGACCTCCCCTGGGCCTCAGACTCTGGTCTCCAGAGCTGGGAGGGGATGCATCCCCGTGGTTTTAAGCCCCCAGCTGTGGGTCATTTGTCACGGCCAGTGCAGGATGCTCCTATCATCATAATAATGCTCTTCCTTATTCTTCTCTCGACCCTAAGCACCCACCCCCGGCCCCTCACTCTGGCCCCAGCTCCCAGCCCCCAGTCCCAGGAAGCCTGGCCTGGCCCAGCAGTCCCGGACCCACTGAGGCACACAGCTGCCCGGTCCATTCCACAACCTGCGGGTGCCCGGCACGGGCTAGGGCTGCATTCCCAGCTTCTGTTTTTTAACTTAAAATCCGTGCACGAAACCGGAGGCTCCCGGATCCAGCTCATCGGCGCAGTCCTAGTGCGTATTTACGGCAGAAACTTCTCTCTTTGGCTCACACGGCCTCGCCCCGTGGTTGCCGAGTCCTTCCCGTCACCTCGGGCCGCTGTGTGCTTATCGCCCTCAGCACCTTGACCAGGCGACTCCAAGCCACACGGGTGTGTCCGCCCGGGACAGGTGGCCGCGGGGGTGGCCGATAGCGGGCGAGCGCTTCCTCTGCCCCGAGGACACGGTTGTCTTTCTCGGCGCGAGCGAGTCTTTTCGAAAGATGTGGACTGTTTTCTTCTGTGTATTTTAACCCCGCCCCGCCCCCCAAACATGGAAGCTTTTCAACGAAAACCTTCCTTATCAGCCAACATTGCTTCTTGTGAAATAGGTTTCTTCACAGGGTAGACTTTTTTTTTTGAAATTTTTAAAAGATTTTATTTATTTATTTGAGAGAGAGAGAGGACGAGCAGGGGGAGTGGGAGAGGGAGAAGCAGGCTTCCCGCGGAGCAGGGACCCCCCGATGTGGGGTCGATCCTGGGACCCCACCATCATGACTTGAACCGAAGGCAGACTGAGCCACCCAGGCGCCCCCAGTGTAGACTTGCGAGGGGATCCGTCTGTGCCGTGTAATCCGCGCGGACATCTCCCCGCGCCGCGTCGGCGTGAGCGCCTTCCGCGCGCTTCCTCACGCCCTGGAATGCGCGCACACGGCCCGGAAC